ACAATTGCGCCGGCCCGTCCTAACATATGGAAGGCAGATATGCAGGCAATTAACTCCGCAGCATCGGCTGAGAACTGGGAAATTGACTCAAAGGCATCAGTACAAGAGGCATGGACTCTATTCAGGCAGTTATACAATCGGGTAACTCAACCATACATACCCTGGACTGTCCCAAAGAAAAAGAAGCACGGACATCCCTGGATAGGGCGGGATATTCGACGCTTACTAAGACAAAAGAAGAAATGCTGGGATGTTGCCATCCGCCTTGGCACAGCGGGTACGATGGAACGTTACAGATCGATAAGAAACGAGTGTATAACTAAAATTCGGGAAGCGCAAAGAAAATATGAAATGCAGCTGGCAGAATCTGCACTCAAGCAGCCCAAGAGGATATTCTCGTACATAAACTACAGAACAAGGATTCATCATTGGATTCCCAACCTAATTAAAGTAGGAAGTGAATCTGAAATGATAGAGGAAGATCAGGAAAAAGCTGAGGTTATGGCTGACTACTTTGGGGCAGTTTTCACTCAGGAACCTCCTCTAGAGAAAGAACCAGACCCAATTACAGAGTCAACAAACCAGCTGCTCACCGTGGACTTCGACCAAAACGATGTGCTTAAGGCTCTTAGCACCCTAAACATGGAGAAGTCAACAGGACCAGATGAACTACACCCTAAAATCTTGAGACATATTGCCCAATATATCGCAGCCCCACTGACTGTGATATTCAAAATGTCACTTGACCAAGGTGTGTTACCTATGGACTGGAAGGACGCAATCGTCACTCCCATACATAAAACAGGTCTACGACAAGTTCCATCAAATTACAGACCCGTAAGCCTCACCAGTGTTGTAATTAAAATACTGGAAAGAATAATCAAACGGACCATAACAGCATTTATGGAAACCAATAACTTGCTGAACATGGCACAACATGGTTTTAGAAAGGGTCTATCCTGTACAACGAACCTCCTTATAGCTAGGGAGCTCTGGATTAATGCGCTAGACAACGGAAACTCAGTGGATGTTGTCTACATAGACTTCAGTAAGGCTTTTGACAAGGTGCCAACTAATAGGCTGCTATTGAAGTTGGCAAACCTTGGTATTGCCGGACCTCTTTTAAAATGGATTAAGGATTTCCTAGTAGGTCGTAGGCAAAAAGTAAGAATAAATTCCAAGTGCTCCATCTGGAGACCAGTACTTAGTGGAGTACCCCAAGGTTCCGTCTTAGGTCCTTTACTTTTTATAATGTACGTTAATGATCTTACAAGTATAGTACAGTCTCCAATGTTATTATACGCTGACGATGTAAAAATTTGGCGAGTAATAACTGGAGACAAAGACGCATTTACTCTTCAGGCGGACTTAAATAATATGATAAACTGGTCTAAAGAGTGGCTAATGCCTATCAACTCGGAAAAGTGTGTCTACATGCACTTGGGGGATTCAAAGGTTAATACGTACAACATAGGGGATGTGTCATTACCCGTAGTCCGGTCTCATAAGGACCTAGGGGTGACAGTGAGCAATGATCTTAAGACGACGGCCCATTGCCGGGAGGTCGCAGTTAAGGGGTTTCGAACCCTCTGGGCTTTAAAAAGGACATTCACTAAGCTTGATACTACCATGTTCACCACATTATACACATCCTTAGTGAGAACTAAGTTAGAGAACTGTGTTCAGGCTGCAAGCCCCTGTTTAAAGGTGACTCAGACATAATAGAAAAGGTACAGAGGGCAGCTACGCGTGCAATTCCGGAACTCCGGGTTTATCATATAAAGAGCGGCTTGAAAAACTGAACCTCTTTACTCTGTCCTATCGCAGACTAAGGGGAGATCTAATATTGATGTACAGAATACTGAGAAATGATTTCGGACCTAACTTATTCTCTCTCTTTCTTCCCACTAGATCGGGACACCTCAGAGGACATAGCAGGCGAGTAGAAAAGCCAAGAACGAACAAAATACCCGTGGCATACAGGTTTTCACACCGAGTCATCAATACTTGGAACCTGCTGCCTGAAGCAGTGGTGTCCGCACCTTCAATTGACTCTTTCAAGAGAAGACTGGACACTCACAGAAGCATACTAGAAAAGGAATAACATAGGCCGTAGGCCTTCTCTCCTTACTACACAAATCTGAATCCGAATCTATTAAGAGTCCAAAATTGACATGATCATAAATAGCTCTCGGATATCTTAGAACACTACTCCGAAATTTCGTCCGAATGACAAGTAAATGTGAACTGATTATAACATTTAAGCAATAAGTCATGACTGTTAAACAAAGACAAATATTTTTAAACCGAATTCAAAAAGCGGATAAAACATAGTCTGAACAAATTAAAACCAACTAGATTTTCTGTACATAAGTTTCAAAAGATGCACGAGTTCTCAACACGACAGGTACGAAAACATCCATATTAAAATCAGAGTGAAAAAAGTCAAAACTCACAATGAACAAATGACAATACAGAGAAAAAGAAAGATGAGTCAACTTCCAATAGCTTCTTTCTGAAGATGATTTGAAGAACAAGATTTTCCAGAGCCGTAAACAGGTCTACGACTGACTTGGCGTCGAAAACGTTATCAATCAGAGGCTCTTCCAAACCTCTTTTGATATTTACAAATACAAAATAAGTAATTATCACTACAATAAAAAATCATCAAGTAAAAATGAGGTTGAGAAAATCTCCCCGTAACTAAATAAACCGAATCAAACTGACTGGAACAGTAGTTGGAATTCTTCTCCACGGTATACTTCTGTTCCTTCAGTTAGCCTACTAATACAGATGCAATTGGAATTCAACTCATATGGACAACTTACCGGCATAATCGTTATTTGATTTCATAATTTAAACCAAAGCCAATACCAGTATTAACATTTCTACAATATTCATCACTTTAATATTTCTAAACACAAAATACTTACTACATATACGTTAAGTTATTAACCAACGGCTATTAACACGCATCGTTTTATTATTATTATTATTGTAACCCCGTTTTTTATAGCTCAAATAATCCTCACCCAAATTTTCATTTTAAGCGTTTTAAGCATGAAGGCAGATATTTTAAGATTATTACATGTATTTCCCGACCAGATGCTGCCGCCTTTTTGATTTATCTTTCATCTTACCAATACCCGGAGGATTCTTATTATCCTTGGTAACCCCCCGCGCGCGACGATCCCATCCAATTTGGTATCGAACCAACATCACGTTGATTCTGGTGGGAGAGTAGTGTAGTGGCATTGGACAATAGCCACACAATCCACAAAGCTGTGAACACGAGACCACTCAGAAAATAGATATTCAATATTTAACACGGAGAAATACCTAACAATGGAGAAGGCGCGAACAATGAATTGGATGGACTGGAGTTGATCGAGTGGCATGGCTCGACCATGCAGGCGTGGTCTCTGCCGAATGTTACCTTATATCTCCTGTTCATATTAAATATATTGTTCTTCCTCTAGCCTAACCTTGTTCTACATCATGTATTGGTAATTGATATGATACAGTGAGTTGGTGTAGTCCATGGTGTGACTTCCACGTAAGACCTTATAGATTAGGCAGTTATATCATGACAAATCTACAAATTTAGGATTAGGTCTATTATTAGAGCAGTACTAATATCATACTAGACCATAATTCTACAAACCTTTGAAAAAGCTATTTACACTTGATATAAATTAACAGCTAATATGTGCATTAACGCACCATAAGAACGTGATTACTCTATGTGCTCTCTTTATCGTACACTGATTAAAAAAGCAGAAGAGGTCACAGTATCAAGCAATGAAGAACCCATCAAGACGTCCTGCAGCACGATAAAATGTTAGGTTTCCCATTATCCTTAAGCGTCTATAAACAACTTAAAACAGCCTATTGATGAAGATCTGATACATATTGGATCGAGCTTATTGATAAGATATGTTTTATCGACCCTGTCAAATACTCTTAAGAAATCGAGGTAAATTATGTCCACCTTCTTTTTGCTAATGAAGATGATAGTCTATCTGTCCACTGCACTGAATGGGTCAGTGATGCAGAAACGATACTTCCTGGAAGCGTAATGTTGAAGGCGAAAAGAACTATGTGGATAACAAGTAGTCGCATGGAGCATTGCACACCAGGAAGTTCATAACCTTTGGGGGTATTGAACGAAGTGCAACCGGTCAGCACTTCGAAGGCCCATTGGGTCGGGAACCTTTAAAAGTTGGTGTGATGTATGCAAACTTCCAATTTCTGAGACTGCATCTTTATTTAGTTATTGCGGGTGTGTTGCCAAGATTAAGGCTGCTCCTCACCATAAAAGGAGTGGATCATGTCCGAATCAGGCGACGTATTCACGTTTGGAAACTGAAGACTTTGGTACACCAGCCATACGCTCAGATTCACTTTCAAGACTTCTGTTGAGTTTCAGGTAGGGCTCTCGTCAGTGTAGGCTGCATGAGACGACTGCAACGTCTATGACTACTGTCTTATCAATAGCTCAGAAGTATCACTAACGTTATTGCTTTGGAAACTCCAGCTCTGGCTAGTCAAATAGAGGCTGAATGACGGAATAAGCTATACAGACTGGAGGTAAGTTCTTCGATTAGATTAATCTGATATAGCAGCCTCGCTTTACGAGAACAGGTATGTTATTCATTCATTTTGTGTTTCCCGAAGAACCATATAAATCATAGGACACCAACGAGTGATAAGCAAAGGTGTAATTATAACACCCTCTCGTAGAAGATTCAGTGTTTAAGTATCCATTTCTGATAAATCTTCAAGAAGAGTGAATACTCTAGAGTCCATTGTCTTAGGTAATGCTTTGAATCTGTAGTCGCTACGAGAAGTAAAAGCTCTAAAGATTGAGAAAAACTGTCCAACTGTGTTCTGTCCTCAAGGTCAATGACCTGGAACGATAGTCTCTATTGAGTCAGATATTTTGCGTAAGGTCAAAGCGCGTGTGTTGATCTTCGCGTTATGTTACCAATACTTGTAACATGACGACAATGGAGTCCAGTGAGTTTTACGGTTTTGGTCTTAGTTTCAGTTAACAAAGTATCTTTTGTATACTTTGGATCGCAATACATGACTTCAAATGGTTGATTTTATAGCTTTTCACTAGATTTCGGAAAACTTGTCATATCTTCCTTATAATGTAGTTTTGTCCATTCTACTCTCAAGCTTTTGTGGTTCTCTCTGACCGTTTTGTTAATGAACCATTTAACAAGTGCACCAGATTTCAAAAGAAGTTCTTAGTTTTTTTGGATGATTTTTTATTGTAGTGATAATTACTTATTTTGTATTTGTAAATATCAAAAGAGGTTTGGAAGAGCCTCTGATTGATAACGTTTTCGACGCCAAGTCAGTCGTAGACCTGTTTACGGCTCTGGAAAATCTTGTTCTTCAAATCATCTTCAGAAAGAAGCTATTGGAAGTTGACTCATCTTTCTTTTTCTCTGTATTGTCATTTGTTCATTGTGAGTTTTGACTTTTTTCACTCTGATTTTAATATGGATGTTTTCGTACCTGTCGTGTTGAGAACTCGTGCATCTTTTGAAACTTATGTACAGAAAATCTAGTTGGTTTTAATTTGTTCAGACTATGTTTTATCCGCTTTTTGAATTCGGTTTAAAAATATTTGTCTTTGTTTAACAGTCATGACTTATTGCTTAAATGTTATAATCAGTTCACATTTACTTGTCATTCGGACGAAATTTCGGAGTAGTGTTCTAAGATATCCGAGAGCTATTTATGATCATGTCAATTTTAGACTCCTAATATCTACCGTATCCTTTGAATGTTATGTCATTAGGCACAATACTTGTTTATCTCTAATCTATAGTGTTTTAATACGTATATCTTGATTGTCTGGTTGCTAGATATAGTTAAGTTATTGATCAGGTCATATTGCTTCAGAACTTGCTAGTATATAGTTGCCAGTATATAATAGTCTGTCTTTTGATTTCTTCTTAATAACATGTTGATTTCCTGTGTTAAGGAATTCCTCGTCGGCGTGCAAATTCTGCAGAACCCAGGACAAATTATTTCGTGCGAAAACTTTCCAAATTGGTTTTAAATGAAAGCAACCTTCAAAATACCTCTCGTCTCAAGGATTTTAATATGAACCGCAGATTGTCTACACAACAGCCGAAGTTTACTAATCCTTTCGCTCGTCTGGATTTTCGGAAAAAAAGGAAGAAGACTACTAAAGTCAAAGTTGTATGTAATATTTCACTCATCGGTTGCATATTGCTTTTCACAAGGTCTTTGATTTTACCACTCATCCTCTCAATATCATTATTATTGCAGATAATCTCACCATGGACTGATGACAGTGTGAAAGAGCTGCCAAGCACTCCAGACCAAAGCGTAGAACATCTTGAGTCATATCAATGTACTAGAAGTTCGATTTACTCACCACATAACACCCACCCATCTACCTTATAGTTAGGGGAGATATTACCTAAATAAAGCTAATAACCGTCAAGAATCATTAGAACGGCAGGAAAACTAAATGGTTGAGCGTGAGATTAATAGTTGATATTCTTCAAAAAGATTGCCAAACAGTCATTAACTTTTGGGTCATTTACTTTAAAATACTAACATAACATATTAACTCCAGTTACCTGGTGATTACCTCAATGATAACAAAGAAGAATAAAATAAAAGGTATAAAAGCAGAACATCGTCCCTACTCTTTGCCAAGATTTTACGTTTAGACAAATAAATCTTTTGGCAAACGAACTTTTGTTGAGTTCGAGAGTCACAGTTGTGGCACTGATGGGTATTTTTCTGATATGATCTTCATTTCAGAGATGAGTTCTTGGGTGCTGAGCGTTATTTAGAACAGCAATCGACTTATATCTAATCTCATGATAATTATTTTTGAGTTCTTACCGATGGCTTATATACTGACATTCATACGCAAACGTTTGGCGATTAAAAGTTAGACACTTACTTATGCATTGGTACAGGCCAAAAAGAACTACATCATCCACTGACTGTGCTGTGTTGTGTATTAGATGCTTTATTTGTAGTGGTATGGTTTCATTATTGAAGTTTTTATATTCTGCTCATGATTATATTAGTTCTTGAAAAGTCCAAAATCACATTTTAGAAACTTGATCTTGGTTGTCTTTGTTAAGAAGTCCGTACAATAAAAACTCATAATTCCAACTAACTGTGTAAAACAACATACTATTACCACTCACATTCTAAATCTATTGCTATATGATGTTTTAACTTCCTTGCAAGACTGCTAATTAATAAACCCTTAAGAAACGAAACACATATTGGTACTTAAAAACAGTCTTGATGTTGATTTTAATTCTGTCTACAAGTAGTATTTCTTTTTTTATAAGCCACCATTGGATTTTCCCCAGTCGTATACTGAGTTGATTTTGGAACTTGCCTACACATCAAACTTAACACGTCAAGTTATTCGACCATTTAATCGTTGTCATTTAATAAGTCAATTAACTGAATGTGCACGCTTGATTCGTGGACGTATTGCATCTGGTGCTGCATGTATCCAGCTCCCTTTACTAGCCGATTCCAAAAAGGATGAACAACGTATGAGTGACAAGTGAGTATCATTTACTTTTAAGGAAAGAAAACGTTTGGAGTCTTTCCTCATTTCCAAACTATACTAATTGGTTGCTAGGTAACACGCACTGTGCTGCTCACTCTTCAGTTCTATTATTCACTCAGCCAAGTGACTAAAACCCCAATATACTTTGTGTAAGCCCAGCAGAGCATCATTTTCTTCAAAGCTAAGGCATCATTGCTTAGGACTTCCTACATATCGCTTTCGGCAACATTTTATTTAACAGACTGACACAGTTTTCTGACCGCCTTATTCTTTACTCGGAATATAAACCTACTAATTTTATTATAGGGGTATAAAAGTAATGCCCATCGTATAGCTTATGGAACTCAGAAAGTGATAAGCTGTATGATGTTTATGTTTACCATTCTTAGGGAAAAATATGGAATACCTAATTAATACTTGGCTAAAAATCCAGTGTTTATCTTCCCAAAATCCTTAAGGTATTGTTAACATCAAGTCTCAGCTCTTGAATTCCAACTGTTGAAAATTATTGGGTATTAAACACCGTTTTCTTTTCGTTGATAGGTACAGATAAATGTACCAATGATAAAACCAAAGACCGTTGAGTTCTTTATGGAATTAGCCTTTAAACTCCTAACAATGATACCGTTTGTTGTGATTTTCATAATTAGTTTATTTATACTTCTTTGAAGAGCACAAAATAAGAAGAACTACTCATTAAACACATGAGTAGTTAGTGATTCATGTCAGTACAGTGATTAGAGGTCGAAAACATTTTCTTTTTGATTAGATTTTTTTATTGTTAGCCCTAAATGTATGCATTATTTTTGCGGATAGGGAAAAAAGAATCTGTGTCGAAACTTACCATTTTGATACTTAGTTATCTTTAAATAAAGTCTTTAAATATATTAGCAATTTGAATATGTCGAAGATTTAGTCAAATGCTTAATGACCACCGATAATTAAAATAATCTAAAAAATCACACAACTTCTGGCATTATGGTTATATCATGAATTTATTCTAGTATTTGTCAGGTGACTGCTAATTTTCTTCACTTTTCTACGAAAAGTATTAATTGGTATTCGCTTTATTCTTACTGAATCGTGATTATTCTTATTACCTATCAAGAAAAGTTTCTACTGGAACAGACCCATGGTGATGCGCCTTATATTTACTCGTACTGCCCTGAAGATTTATTTCGTAATAAGGTACATTGCAATAGTCATATTTTCTAGCTAATGGGGAAGTTTCGACTTCTTGGAAAAAAAGCATGATTCGTTTTGTGGAGCAATTTATTAATTTTATACATTTAGATACTCCAGATGTATATATGAGGTACGTAAGAAAATTTCTGATATGAATAGCAGCATGTCACGATTTGAGCTCAAGTCTTATTATGATGGACAATAAACTAAAATAGCGAAACATGAACAGACCACTTATATCATTGGTCTCACTTTTCTCTATTTCCCATATCTCTCTTATAAATAGAAGTATATATATTTAAGTTTGCAAGTGATCAAGTAAATAAAATGCGCTTTGTCGTTTAAATCTTATTAACTGGGATCAGAAAACTACTTTACAACTGGTTGGAGCATATATAGTTACACTCATCATTCTTAATTGATCTTCTAGTGTGTTATAGTGAAATGTAGATTTATGTATTGCAAGGACTATTAAAATGGTGTGCCGTTCATGACTTAGCACACTATTTTTATGTTTGTTTAGATTCAATCCCATTAGTAGATTAATCAAGTGATTGGGATTATTATGCTGCGCTTTTTAAAACCCAAACGTCAATAGCACTCATATGATGAATACTTCTACGAAAAATTATCTTGACCTAAGAGGTTATTTAACCTACCCTTGAATCTCTCTTTAGTTAAAGAACTAGTGGAAATTTTCTAACTAGACATAGCCTTGAGCGGATACTCGTTCAAATAAAAAACGGAGTGTGTGGTCAGACCACAATCTTTTCAGATTGCAACTTATAGTGGATATATTCACTGGAACAATTGTTAAAAGGAATAACATTCTGTTATATAAATTCAACAAGTGAGTTCTATACTTCTTAGCGTGGCATATAAATAATTTGATGACTTTCCTCCTGATTGGTTGTAAATGCTTCTCAACTTATCGTTTAATAACCTTTAGATATATTCAGAAGGTGAATCGTTCGGATTTGCCACACAGGCCAGGTGATATCATGTTGATAAGTACTTTCGAGCAGTGTATAAAACTATCAGAGTCAATGTACATTTGTAATATGGAGTTATGACGTTTTATTTGATATGGTTTTCAGCCTTGATTGACAGAGTTTAAATATTAAATCGGTTAGTATGTCGTAAATAGCATAGCGCTAGGCACAAATTTCCATAGACTCGAATAGCCATGCCACGTGAGAAACTTACTTACTTACGCCTGTTACTCCCAATGGCGCATAGGCCGCTGGCCAGCATTCTCCAACCCACTATGTCCTGCGCCTTTCTTTCTAGTTCTATCGAATTTTTGTTCATTCTTATGTCTGTCTCAATTTGTCGGCGTAATGTGTTCCTTGGTCTTCTTCTTCTCCTTTGGCGTTGCGGATTCCAAGTGAGGGCTAGCTTCGTGACTCAGTTGGGTGCTTTCCTCAATGTGTGCCATATCCACTTCCAGCGCTTCTTGCTGACTTCTCCTCGGCTGGGATCTGCTTTGTTCTCTCCCATAGTAGGTTGATGCTAATAGTGTCTGGCCAAGGGATCCGAAGTATTATGAGTAGATAGCTGTTAATAAACACTTGTATCTTCTGAATGATGGCTTTCGTAGTTCTCCAAGTTTCCGCCCCATACAGTAGAACTGTCTCGACTATTGTATTGAAAATTCTGACCTTGCCCACGTGAGGTAAAATTATTAAGATGGAAACTACAGTAGTAATATCATTGGTAGTAAAAAGACTACACAAAGAGAATGATTTACGAGTTTGGATATTAGATACTCTAATACGTAGCTTGAAGCCAGGTCACCAAAAGCCAGGGATGTTATTCTATAAGTTAGAATTATCACCACTTTTGGATCACCTGTGTAAGTTGGTGTTGCTCAAGCAGTGCTATCAGACATAAACTATGACGCGGGAATTAATAATAAGGCTACTTGCTGACATGTTTAGGGCAGTTTTTGGCAGGGGCGTGCTGGTTTACTACTGCATCTGTATTATCTCCAGTTTGATATGGTAAATTATTTTACTCGCAATTTAAATTCACAGTAGCTTAGTTTGCAGTATAGTCAATAGGATCATTATGCATATTATCACTGGAAAAAATCCAATGTGTTTCTGGAGGTGAAAAATTGGTTTTAAAAAAGAATTAAAACTGTCTGTTTACTTTTCTTGTTCATTTTGCTACTTATTTTGACCTAATTTATAGCTTTTATCTTCTATTAAATATTGATCAAACTAAGATACTCAAATATCAAGTGATTTAAACCTATATACTTGATTATTTATTCTTATATTGAGTTGTCATGTGTTTCGAATCCTAATTTTTTCGGCCGGTTAACAAGTATACTAAATGTAGAACATATGACTTTGTGAATTAAAATCAAATCAATAAACCTTTGAAAGATACTCATTTGATTTTCGGGTCACTTTTTTACTATTTACTTGGATTCGCGATCATACTTCACATTAGTCTGTCGTGTAGATTTTTCACGCGTGTACTAGCTGTTTGCTTGAGACGGTTAATATGAGAATACAATCCTAAACAATGCTGACATCATTTCTGTTAGTGCATTCATTAGTAGAGAAGTTTAATGCCGCTTTCTGTTAACTCAGTCCTCTGATCAAATAAAAAATAGTTAATTCAGTACATAAATTTTTTTTGTTTCATTTCTTCGAAAGATCCAGGGATCCGAAATGTTCTGTCAATATTGTTATTCGGAATCATCCAGTAGGATGATTATTCACAAAGATCAATGAGAACATTTCAATGACTTAAATATTTTTGATATACTCCATTGTTTAAAGTCCCTTGATGAAATCAGTCATACTCCCAAATCAGTTGTCCTCTTTCTAGTCTTTAGACTAATTTCTCTTTACTTCAGAATCCTTGGTTTATAGAGGAAGAGTGTTCATTGAACAAAATCTATGTCCATCTTCTCATATTTACATCAATCTTCATTTTAGATTGAATGTCTGTGACAGAATAAACAGAGTTTGGTATCTTCAAGTTCTTTCTTCAACAATTATCTCATGTCACTTATCTTACTTGATAACTTTAGACACTTGTTATGTAATTATCAGGTCAATTTTACTTTCAAGTCACAGGTTATCATTTTAAGCACCCATATGTATTTATGTAAAACTGTCGAAAACCAAATGACGTCTTGATAGGTTTATACATATCTATTAGTTAGAGTGTTTTTTGTGGAAATTATGATTACGAACCATGATCACCTTGTGGTGCGTGTTACTTATATTGATATAAGTAGCATATAACGCGATTCAGGAATGTAATGTCTGGTAGCAGAAGATTGGGAAGATCAAGAAAGGAAGAACGGGAGTAGAAGGCAATTAGTATGGAAATGCAAGAACAATGAAGTCCGAGACAATTATTGAATATTTTGCAAATTAAGTATTATAGTATGTTTTTCTGTTTTAACTAGTAACCCTGTAATTTTATGCTAAGTAATTCGGTTGTCCTCACCTGTGTTCTCCCTCACTACAACCTAAAGAACCACTAAAACTCAAAGAGCTCTGGATAAGTGTTTCACTCTAGTTTAAGAGGAGTTGAAAATATCAACCATTAGATTCCAAAGCATTGATAGACGACAAAGTGATTCACAATGATTCACTAAGTGATTCCGGTTTGTAATGAAAATTATCTTAAATTCGTATATATTATCCTATCTACGTTATAAACATTACAGCATAACATTAATTATTGAACTTGAAATATGTCTATCTTCTTTATCTCTTACAATATGGTTTGTATCATTCCAGTTGTGTCATTCATAATTAAAATTAGTTCTGAAAAACTATTTTGTTAATTATTATTATTATTATTATTATTACTATTATTATTATTATCCGGTTGACTGTATGCTTATTTAGTGTTCTCGCATTTCATATACATGATGTTTATTTTCTTTCTTTTATATCCATTACATTCCATACTTTCATTCTATTTATTTACAAATTTCAGAGAAAATCTATCAGTTCCACCGATTTTAATGACCTTATTTTTCATGTGATTATGGATTCTGTTTCTCAGCTCTTTACTCTGATTTTTTTATTGTTGTAGGAATTGATTGAGTAGTTAATGTAAAGGTTATATTAAATATTCATGATTACTTATTGCTTTTACTCCTTCGTTCGCATAAAATGAACTCCGAATTGAAAAATATATATATTATTAATGCAAGTGCTAGTTTTTATATTCTCTTAAAAGTAGGTATCGTGTAAAGAAAATATCTGCCACTCCTGTATTTATTGTGTAATAAAAGTTAGGGTCATCCTAATGAAGTAATTTCAATTACTTGTATACAGTGTTAATTCGCTTTTGTTCATGCATAAGGAAAAGCTTAAAATTGAATAGATAATAAATTGGTAACAATATATTTCTACTTATCGGATTACCAGCTTTCTAGATTAAATCAATAATCTCCAGTGGGGCTATGCTTGAAAAGTTCTGGTCACAACCCAACAATGTGCTCAGTCTTATTATAGGACTTGCTATCACTGAAATTAGAAGATATTACTATTATGATAGATCACTTAACTGATAAAATGTCAGAATAACTTGGATAGCCAAACCGATAATTTACTCGCATGATCGATCCTTAAATCCAAATTGGATCAAGTTTTGAAGTCAGAACTACTAGTCGACCATGTAAATATATTTTTGGGAAACGGAACTATAATTTGTGGACAAAATATTCGGTCATAAAATTATGACAATCACTTGTTTGTCAGTTGAGGAATGGATAACAAAAAATAAAAATCATTAAATAACCTGTGATTATTTAATTTCGTGTTTTGTGACAGTCAGTGTTTTGAATTAACTTCCTGATCGCCATGCTTACCGACTAAATAATGATAATGTTTTCTGGAAACTAATCTTAAAAGTATTTTTCCTCAGTTATTCTCTCTCTTTGTCCCATCTTCTTTCATCTCCTTTTTGTGTATTTATTGGTAATCTCAATATTAGTTGAATTCATGAATCGATCTAAGCTAGACCACCATTGAAAACCCAGAAGCACTGGACGGCGCGAGACCGAAGATCCTGGGTCCGAGTTCTATGTGCGGGATCGTGAATGCGCACTACTTAGGGTAAAACGGCCGTTCAGTACTTCCAGGTTTTCAATGGTGGTCTAGTTTAGATCGACTCATGAATTCAACTATTAAAATTACTACAATCTCCACAAACCCCCATTCTGATAATCTCAATATTAAACAACTATTTAGTGAAAATTTGACTTTTCTAAAATAATTTTCAATGGTTTCTGTACGTTACTGTTATTAGAATTCAGGACGAAATTAACAAGTCCTTGTTTGAATTTGTATTTTTGTATCCGTTTATCTTCAGTGTTTCTCTCATATTCCTTTTGCTTCTTCATAACACTTCCTGCTTTTTGCATTGTTTGAAAAAGTATTTTAATAAATAGTGTTAAAAGTATGAATTATCGCTTACAATTTCTGGTCCTACCACCTCAAGTATATTTTGTTATTATATGGAATCCCTTGTTATAAACTTTAATCACTTCATCAACATTTGTTAGTTGCATGGTCATGCGCGTGTGTATGAGTGTGTGGAATTGTTTTTGGACTATTTTCCGATGAATGAGGTGATTGGAAACAGGCTTAACGGTACTATACTCAGGTATTGTCTGTTGATCAGTGTTAGAGGTAAAATTAACATGACGGTGTGCAGTATTTCATTTGTTGCATCCATTTTTCTGTCACCTAATCTAGTCGTTCTATTTTTCATCTGGATTAAAATGTTTGTATACGCGATCCCTTCTGCAGTATCTTTAACATCTCACATTGATAGTTTAATACTTTCAAATGCCGTTCAACGGCGATATTGAATATGAATTTGTCACAAATTATAAAGTATCAGCTGTACATATATTATGCGGGTGAAAAATAAATTTCTAATGAACGATACATACATTTCATTAGTTTATTTGTCTCTTTTTGTTTTTGTTTGCTTGTTGTGCGCGAATCACATGATGTTTATATTACGTACAGATGTTCCTTTTTTTGGCAAGAAAATATTGAAGATTAATTGGTACCATACATTTTAATCTAATCAGTTAACTTTATATTGTGAAGTCACTTTATTAATACATTTTGATGACATTTCTCTTATCCATTTTTTTCTTCTTTCAATGACAATACTGCAAGTCAGTAATAAAACAGTTTCATTTTTAAGTAAAATTTGTATTAGTCAAGTCTATATTTCTAATTATTAAGGATTAAGTACCATTGTTACTGATTGTTTATATGAGTAATTCACAAGTTGTCATGTGAAAGTGATTGGCATTTCTAAAATAATTAATATAGATTTGTATTCATTTAAATCATATTTATTATACGTTTTCTTTTTTAAAAGTGAGTCACTAGTTTTACAGTTTAACAATATATCCTACTTTTCCACGTTAACACATCATTCAGAAAATGTTAAAAAGTTATTTAGAAAGATGAATACGAGTATCTTTGTGATGTTAAATTCTATGCATTGTGTTCTTCAGTGAATTATTTTAGATTATTTGGTTCTCAATACTTAGGTTTAGGCATCTCACACATCCCATGGTATTATTACTTTTCTTTACATCAAATATTTGGCTCAAAACCGTCAATCAGGCTACACTTAGTTACATTGAAGAATAAACGTCATTTGAGTTCTTATAAATCTGTTTACGTCTGTACAATATGATGATATAGTATAATAATCATTTGGAAATGGTAAAACTAGATAAATTACACTCCAAGGCATTAAATCATATATAATAATTCTAACATAGGCTATTGAGATAAAGTAATTTACTGTGAAAAAAAAGCTGGACCTGAATATTCTAATTTTTAATAAGATTAATGTTAGATTATTTGGCAGTCAGTGTTATTTTTTAAATGAATGGAGCAAACAAAATTTGTGGCAAAGAATAATAAAGTAGACATCTCTAAATTAAACATTTTTTCAACCAATATCATGCATTATTATTACAGAAGGAAGTAGATCTACCTTCATTGTATAATAAAATCATGATGTAAACTAACTAGATTATCAATTCATTTAATTTAACACATTTGTAAAGTAATTGTCCTCCAACTTTTTTCAACTTGAAAAGTCAGTCTTTACAATTTTTACCTTGATAACAATTTTATTGATGAGATAAAACATTTCTTGATCATGCGTTGTTTACAGTTTGTTGATATGGTTTTTTATTCTGGTTACTGTTTTTTCATCTGATTATCTACACTCATTTTCTTTCCCTTTTGTTGTTAAAGTCGAATGATTATGGTAAAGATTAATCAGTTCAATGAAGCACATGCGTTATTTACTGATTGGATTAATAAGCTTTCATCGGCTCCATTTGTAACTAACACATTTGGTCCAACAGTTGTTCAACCTTGTGATGAAAATAGTCCTACAAATCAACAGATTCTACTATCAAAATCAAATTATTCTATACAGGATGCTAATTTACTACAAGATTTACAATGTGATGGTGAATTGTTATTCTGTCAACTTCAATCATGTGCTTTGGTAAGCAATCTTTTCACATTTAATTCAATACTAGAACTGTTCTATACAATAAACTTCATATTATGGAGTTGTTTATTTTTAATGAGAAATTTTTTTTGTCATTTTTACATTCCTGTATATTGTAACCGATTAACTAATTCTATTTAAGTCTCAAAGCTGAAAAATTTAAGCTCAAGTCTTAGCATGAAAATACTAAGATGGATTTCACATATATTTAAATGTTAACTATTATGATAGCTAAGATGAAATGTAACTTGAATTATATTGCGAACTTTTTTACTAGATACCCTCATGAAATATTTAAATTTCACTTTCATTAACTTATTGATTAAACAGAAAGATAACTGAAGTTTCTAACACAGAAATAAAGATAAACAAACATACAGATGAGTTTAGTTATCATCAATCAGATTAGTCATTATATAATTACTATCGATTAGTAAGAATAAATTATGTAAATATAATCAAAAAGTTAGAAATAATTTGGTAATTGTTTCTACCGAATAATTAATTATCAGTCTGTTTATTGCCCTCAAATTTCATTGATTAGTTAATATAACATGTAAACGCTTTATGAAGCTTTATCTTTCGCTCAATAAATTACTGAATATTTACTTACGTTATACAAATCAGTCTTAGTTCAGTTTTGATAGAGACCTAAAATCTCAGTACTATTGCATTTAGTTAAACTGTTTGTTCTTAATATTATGCAAATGCGACGTTAACAATATATTTATATAGAATAAATGAAGTGTGAGTAATAGTGGTACACAGAAAGCTCATTTTTCCCCATTCTTTATTAATTTATGTTATAATGGCTACATAAGACAATCCGCATAGGATCGACCTATGCTAACCAAGGCTGATCGAATTTCAAAATAACAACGGGATAATCCAAACCATGTCGACTTGAGTACAGTTATAGTTCATCATATCGTAATAGTTCAGGCAAACTGTCATGTGTTTCACTTACTAACATTTCAAATGTAGAAAACCAAATAGTTTGCTATTTATGAACAAATTATCAGTATCATTTTTAATTTGCTTGACGTTATCTATGTGTAAGTGTGAGAACTTGAACAAAATATCACGTGGGAAAGTCATAGTCACAAATATTTTGAGTTCGATCCAATCTGTGTAGTGTTTACTACTTAAATATAAACTTGCTATAACAATTAACAGATAAAAAGTATATTGTAGTTTATATAAGACCCTGACCTTTTTTAAGGGACTTTTAAGCGATTCACATTAAGGTTCAATTTGCAAGGTTACCAGATGACACTATAGGCTACATTTACACGGTACCCTTAACTGGTTTGTGGGATCTTTGTCCGTCTGACAGTACGGATTACTTTGGTACACTGTCGGTTTGTGAATAAAGATTTTCATCTGTCGTTAGGACTTCTCTTCTCCTCTACTCAGTAAATGTTCTATGAAAAAGCAATAATTCATTTCAAGAATGGACTACGATTGCGTAACCGCACTAGAGTAGTTCAAGAAAATGAGTGGGCTCCTTACATACTATTCATTATGCTGGACTATTCGTAGGTTTGAATAAGTTGTAGCTGTTTAGGGAATTTACCGGTGTATTTATTCTTCCCAGACTAATAAACAATAATAAATATTTGGTGTTTAAAGTGTAATAAAAGATTCAATGAGTAAAAAAGCATATACTATATTTTAACTTAATAGAAAAAATGTATAACCTAACAATTGTAATTGTACACGCAAATATACTATTGCCTACTTGTCGATTTATTGGCTAAAGAACTCACTTTTCAACCAAGAGGCCAGATTTTAGAACTGCAATCTACCTACTTGAGCTTGAGCAGCCAGTTTATATCATTAGTCCTAAAAAAGAATGTCACCTAAAACTGACTACGTAAATCTGTAATTCCTAAATGTTGTTATCGGTTGAATAGTACTACTAGTATATAAGTACGTTTTTATTAATTATGATTTCAGTATTATAATTTCTAATAACTCGTAAATTTAGAATTAGTTCAGAATAAAAATAAAATATGATTAAAGGAATAAATTGGTGAAGATAATAATTCTTGAATTTCCATGAGTTTCATTATTCATGAAAGCATTGTGTTGACAGAGTTTTAGTTCTTACTTAATGTTTTTTTCTTAGAAATTAAATTATATTCAATTTACTCCGTATAGTCTACCAAGACATTTATTTATACAATAGAAATTAATTTGAGCAAAATTCCACTGCATACCACTAACTTCTGTTCCCTTTTTTCCTCTCACTTACCCTCTTAACTTTATGAGATCCTCAATGGGATCGATTCACTATGTATAATGGGAATAGCTTTCTTTCATTATCTCACTGACACACAAAATGTTTTAATTTTATCAATCTTATTTTATTTTTGCGAAAACCTTGTTTATAATTTCTAACTGATAGTTATCAAGACAGAGAACAGAGTGTTAGAGAGGAGTAGAAGCTAAAATAATGCAAAACTAACCATTACTGAAAAAAAGGGGTCATAATTAATTCATACTTTAGCTAGTCTTGTCATCAAATATATATATATATATATATATATATATATATATATATAGAGAGAGAGAGAGAGAGAGAGAGAGATTTCGCCTAATTAAAAACCGGAAATACTCTATAATTATTTAGTTGTAGTGCTAAGGATTTTTACTTAGTTCACTTTCAACAATCCACTTGAGATCGAACGCTCGAATTTCATGGTGATTTTGTAACTGTTTAAACTCACAGTTGGAAGTCAGTAATTCACATTTTCAAACTTCAGTCCATTTTTGCAGTATGACATTCATTATTACACATAATTTGTTCAATAGTAGAACGACCATACACATATCCAGTGTGCGATAGTGAGCGTGTAGGTTTCTAATGTATGTCACATGAGAACAATAACTATCAAGTGCTCCCTCCCCTTTATTAGTCCACGGCTATTGTCATTTTGGAATGTAAACTATGTTCCTTGCAAACTATTTAAGCTTATGTATGTATACTGATGGTGTTGTGTCAATTTTTGTTCTTATTGTCGAAAAAACTCAAAATGATCAGTATATATTCATATCCTTTTTAAAAAATCCAACTGTAAAACGTTTTGTTTTCATTTTACAACTTATTTAGCCCACTGTACGACTGGTCGCTTTTAATAATTTCTTTAGGATTTCGCAAAGCTAAATCCTTTCAAAATAAAAATCCAAAGTATAGTCTTGTATTAAACATTTATGCATTAGGCACAATTTTGTATAATTCAGTTCATTATCTGCTTAAATCGAAGGACGTAAGGAAGTAAGTATATTATTCAAATAGAAAATATCATAATGGCGATGATTTGAGAAAGAACCTAGTGAACGGAATACACACATTAAGACACTAAATGAAAAGGATTAGTTCAGCGAAGAGTTCTCTTTTAGGCGAATTCATTTTCAAAGTTGTAGAATCGCAAATATATATACTTATTTTACAGGATGATGATAATACTGGTAATAAACCTCTCTTAGATATGGTGACAGTGAGGTAAAATTAACAAAGGTATTAAATTCTTTTAAACTAGGAAAGTTTAGTAATCTTCTGATTGTTAATGGTTTGAGTATTGATAAAAAAGATAGATGGGGAAATTATCATTGGGAAAAGATGGCTCAGCATAATTGCGATTACACAGCTTTGAAAATGATTCCGCAGAAAAGAGAACTCTTCGCTGAACTAATCTTTCTTATTTAAGATCCTAGTGATTCGAATTCCTGACTTCTATATATAACATAGTAAACACAATCCTCTATATCAATATCTAATGTTGCTACTGTTGTTTTCTGTGCATTGTGTATATTTTTCTCTCCAGGCTGTGTTTGAATTACTCAAAAATGTTGGCTACACCACGTTTGTTGAACCATCATGTATGGAAGCTTCACTGTATAAAAGTTGGTTAGTGTGTATATGTTTCACTTAAACTTACTTATTCATTTTGTACTACAACAGATAATTTCACATAAATGTGAATTTTATAAAAAAACAGATTAACAGTAATTAGTTTCCATAAATATGTGGGTTGTTGCGGATACTCTGTTTTACTACTATCATCATTTAAACTTCTATCACTGGATGAACATATAAAATGAACATGAAGAAAAGTATTCATCTTTCTTACTTGATGCGCTCCATAGTTTTTTTCTTTTCACTTTCTCTCATATACATCTCTGCTGGAAATATTTGAATTCAATATCTCGATGTTCCCATTGTGTGTTACTTTAAACGGTTCTGGAATAAATAAGTGCTTTCTACGTAGTTGAACAATATTAGGATGTACTTCATCTGAATGCCATATTGTTGAATATACAATTAGAATATAAAGAGGCTGGAAAACTGGTTAATTTGAATGATTCTTAAATTGATAGCTGTTCTGTGATAAAACATACATCAAATGTTATCTATTCCGGTTTGAGACGTAAGCACAAGGTCAATGGACAAATTAATAAGTCTACATCGAAGAATAAAAGCGATTCCCGATACTTATTTCACTTTCTTTACATAGAAATATTCTTTTTATTCTTAGTTGTTATTATTGTTAGATACTTTGTCAGATATTTTTCTTGGTCTATGAAATTCGTATTCAGTTTGCAATTGAATGAATTCTTATGAAAAAAACACAATAATATACACGGTTTCATATTATCTGCTTTAAAACTGGCGATAAAAATAAGATATGATCTACTATTGGTTGTTAGCAAAAATCACATTGTCTTATATTTTTTTTACAAACTCATGTATGGTAGATATCTTATTCTAAAGCCCTATAGTACTACGGATGGGAGTAACTAAATACAGATCGAGTAATTACTTTAAGGGAGTCGAACATATTTATTGTGTTTGTAGATGTTCTTTCTGATGGAGCTTTGTTCTCTGAGCTAGATGGATTAGTCGTGAAGCTTTCATCGTTATTCTGGACGACATCATTAGCGCAAACTTCAGGTAGAAGTGAAGTGTTCGAATTTCTCCACACATGGCTCACAGCCCGACGGGAGGGAAAATAGCTGAGAAAAGTGGAAGAAAAATTGTATATTTAATGATGACTGATGCATATTACAGGATCCAGAATACCAACACGTCATAGATTATGTCATGTATGGCGATGAAAACTCCACGACCAATCCATCCAGCTCAGATAACAAAACCCCATCAAAATAATCCACCTAAGCCATAAATGTTCACCATCTCAAAATCATATGAGCGTAGATGGTCTTTATTTGAACTCTGTAAATACCTGATCTAATTGGATAGCTCCATGAAATGATTTTCTATAATGCAAAACGTAATAAATATACAACTAATTGGTGATAGTTGCTTTTAGAGTATCATTTGTTTAGATGGCTGATATCCTAGAGTACAACATTTGGGTTAGTTGTAAAAGTTTGTATAAGTGAGTGTAGTAATTATTAAAATAAAAAAGTTTTATCCATCACACTATTTCATATATAGTTTGGCACCATATTCAGTCGCCAACTGTATTTATCTATCGTTATTATTAGGAGTAAAATTAAATTGAGAGTAACTTTCCGATAGTTAAAACACGATGTGACTTTATTTATTCATGTCATTAGTGGTTGGACTGTTTTGTATATATGTCTTTAGGCTTGTTATTCATAGCCTAATACACACGGGACATAGTACAATCCTTCTTATACATTAATCTTGAATGAGTCAGGAATTACGACAAATTCCATATATTTCTTCAGAAAATCTTTGACCTTGACTAATAATTCCTTTAACAGTGTTATCAAACTTTTGTTGAGTACTGTTGCTACGATGATTTTAAATATTCTTATTGATTAATTAATTAGTTGTTCTAATCAAACCACCCCCATCCTGATGTCACCACATTTTCATGCAATTTTAGTTGTTCCAAGTTGGTTAATTTTTTTCTACTTTTAAGTATCTATTTCGATATACATAAATCGATTGTTTTCTGCTGGTTTGTTACTTAGTATTATTTTTCACTAATCATTTGTAATAATAATAATAATAATAATAATAATAATAATAATAATAATAATAATGGTCGTAATTGTTTATACTTTCACAAAGTAATTGACGTTCAATAAAATGCTTATTTTACTGATTATTGTTTATTAAGTAATCAATCGTTATATTTCTGAAATGGTGTTTTGTGTTTTCAAATTGACTATTCTTGTTTTGTACTTCGATTAATCTTTTTCCCTTTGACAAGTATCGACAACTGTTGTCAGTAAATTATGGTCAAGTATACCTGTCGAAGCTATTAAGTTGATCAGTACCGACTAGAACTTTTTTTTTCATAAGATTTAGAAAATGTTCAAACTAAAAACTTATGCTATCGTAATATAAACAGGTAACATTTGAGTAAACGGTTGATCAGATGATGAAATCTAATTACTCATTAACAACTAACTTCATACTTACTCTTACCTATCTCTCTTCGATAACAGTGATCGACTTCCGATGTTTCTCTGTTTAAATTACTCTTTTTCAGTCAAAATTGACTTTACATAAGGCATTTGGCAGCCATTTCGATTGACACAACTGCCTAAACAGTTAGATCATATGGCTATTAGCCATCTTTGTCGAGGATCGGCTGAAAAATGCGTATTATTCCTGAACCATTTGTGTGTATTTCGTTCATGGATTGTTACCTGTTTGAATATATCTGTAACTGAATGAGTATTCTAGTTTTAAAATGGAAATATCACTACTATCTTCAAGGGAAAGATGGCTCAAAAAGTGTGCAATTAGAGATTGTAGTAATTGACTGCATATAGTACTATGCTTACATCCTGAATTGTGGTAGGCTAGTTACCGACAAAGACTCTTTTTTCCATCTAAATACCTGTTCAATATCTACCAAGTTGTTTCATCTATAATTTCGAGTGCCCGATATGTGGTGATATCACTACTTAGCAGTCCACTATACAGTCACGGCATAACCACTGAGTTTAGAAGGTTTTTATAAATCGGGAATATTTATGCCTGACAGTGAAATCAGTGAGTGAAGATTTCTGAATGTTTGGACAAGGTTTTGGTTAAACAAGGTGTTTCATTTAATAAACTTTACAGCTATTCTTATGGTTTCTTGGTCACTGCCTATAGAGATCCATGTGCAAAGTACTCAATGATGGCAAAGCATTTCAATTAATAATAACAATACATGTTAATTCAGTTGATACTAAACAGCTAATAAGTACTCAATGAAAGACTAAGAAATTGTTTTTGTGTACTAATAAATCACTTTATATCGTTGTTGATTACTCGGATTGTTGCATTTTCATTTGGTATAGCTATGCACAAAATGAATCAACCCTTACTCATTTAAACGAAAATGGTCATGAAATTAAAAACAGTGGTACCGAAATTCTTAGTCATTCTAATTCGTATAACAACACATCAATAAAAGTTCAAGTGTGTTCACTGATGAAGATCGTGAACTTCTAGCTAAACTATGGCGTTATTTAGATCCTAACAGTAGTTTATCAGGCACCAATTCACCACCACCAAAACCTCCACTACCTAATTTATGTCCTCTCAACATTCCATTCTCTGATCGTCGTACGGATTTAGTCAGCTCTAGTAATCAATCTTCTCAACTTAGTATGAACCCATTTGATGATCCAAACTTGTTAGCATATTTATGTACAATTGCTTCTACTGCTCAACAAAAGTACCCTTCAAATTCAAGTCCATTTACGAAAAGTTCAGATTGTCAAAAAGAATTTACATTGCCAACCACCAGGTATGTTTCAATGTTGATTTTAACTAAAAACAAGCTTAATTTTACTGTTGTTTGTCTTCAGTTTTTTTGTCTCAAGTCATTTACCATACTATGCTTAATTATTTTTTCTTTCTTTTTAATATAACTTAAAATCAGATTGGATTTAAATGCAACTGACCACTTGTGTTTCCCATTAGTCGATGAGTCGGATACTAGTGATCTAGAGTCGAATTTCAATTATCTTAATAATTCGATTAAATTAGATAATTCTTGTACAATACAAACACCTAGTTGTAAACCTAACAGCGCATTATTTTCAATTAAAGATGCCTCACATTCTGTTATCGAACAACCTAAACTGTCTACGAGACAAAAGGAAAAAGTTGATCACTTTGATGAAACATCGTTATATTCAACAACTTGTAACGGAAAGTTTTCACATGTTCATTCCAGTCGAGTAAGCTCTTTTGTATATCAGCACCATTTTTTTTTTGTAATGATAGGTTATTTTGATTTGGCATATCCATGCTACTTTATGCAGTAATATTTTCACTAGTTATGTTCAAAATATTCGTTTCAAAGTACAAACTATGAATATCCTCTATAGATTGTCACATTTTATATAAGCTAAAAAAGAATATCTAATGAATAATGGACTTTATGAGTGGAAACCGTTAAGAGGTTAACTTAAATACCACCAACCTACTTGCCAGCAATATGCATTTTTTAATAGCTAATTAGACTTAACTAGCGTTGTCTCTATATGTGTACATAATGTATTCTACCTAATGGATTCCAGTGTGTTATGATCCTACCCGCTCACATCAAGTAATCCTTTATCTTGTGTAGAAAGCGAGATTCAGTGAGTTGAATACACACTGATATCTTTGTTTTCTGTTTCCCTCCTTAAGATTTTACCGATTCGTATTATATTACTTGGAGAAAGTGATGGTTTAATTATTAGATAAAAATTCTTAAACAAATGTATTCTCATGTTCTTGTATAAAACGTTTCTGTTGTTCGAATGCTAGATGATGATAGAAAACTTTTATTCGATCACTTACTGTGTAGTAACGAATTCCATGTTTGTCTAGTCCTTTAATGATGATTAAATCCTATCGATCGAGTTTCAGTTTGGCCACTAATCTCAGTGACTGAACAACGCACACACTGTTTTTTTGATGTTACACTGTTATAGGTAGCCTCATAAATAATGATTCAAACCTAATAAATGAACATAAATCAATACATAATTTCTTTTATGCACCAATTGCCTTATTTTTGTGAAATTGTTCATTCAAATCGTGACAAATGTTTGTGCAAACATCGGGATGATTCACAACTAATATTTCTCACATGGATTGTATGGCTCGTGTATTGCTCAGGTTCTCAATAGTGTGAATAACTTTTGAATGATTATTGTATTTAAAGTTTGAAATTCTGATAACGTATTATGTGAGATTATATTAACTAAACACAAATTAACACCTCTATCTAACCTATTGTCCTCCTGAGAAGTAGTTAATCTATTTCAGAGATTCTTAATATATTGCATTGCTTCACTAAAAATTGTCAAACGCTAAATAATTTTTTGTCAATTGTTTTTTGTTGTGTTTGTTTATAGTTTTAATATATTCAATAAAAGTACTTATACAAAAACCTAAATCCACCGAATGTTGCCAACACCCATGAGTAGTGAAATGATTTATTTCATCTAACTCTGAATAGATTTTTACAAAGTCTGTGTTGACTTTATTTAAATCACTTAATAAAGAATGTATGATCAGGATTGTTCTTTCATACCGTAGTACTTTAAAACTATACAACCAAACCTAGGGAATATCCTTTGATAAACAGATAATTTTAACCTATTCGAAGCTTATTATTTTTACAAAAGCCTTCATTATAGCCTTAGTTCAACAAAGTTTTATTTACATTATTTCAATCGTTTAAAAATTCACATTATTTTTCTATCAGTATTTTTTGCTATCGATTCAGCTATACACATACGACTCATTGTAACTTATCACGGTTAAATATCTTGGCGTCACTTTTTAAACATGAAATTTAATAACGTACTTATTGATTATCTGGTCACAATGTAAAGTTGTTCGCCTCAATGTGTTGTAATGCATTGGCAGTTAACGTTTGCTGTAAATTACTAGATAAAGTTACTCCAAAAATCTGACTAAATTATTAAAACAGATTTCAGTATCGGACAATAATATATAAATGCATCATTTATCTTCTTTTTTTACATCGTTTTCTCCGTAACTTATAAATCATAGAGAATCGATAGTGACATAAAATATCCTGTATATACATTTAATTTCATCTAGACTGAAGTCATGTAATAATATATCAACTTTAAACAATCTAGTAACGCGAAATCAGATAACATGCCAAGATTTATACATTAAATTTTGAGCAATTGTTAAAGCTTCATCGACGAAACAGGATACAGTGGTTCTAAACTAGTCATGTGTTAATTGGATATACATTGAGAGACTAGTTTACTAGTTGACGTCCCCACTTTACTCATGTTTATATACATTAGTTCAGATTTGAAATTAATTATCGCCTGTCAATGGATTCTTCAGGATTAAATTTCAATACTTCTCTTCTATTTCTTGAGTACAAATTGATCTGTCAGTACTCTCTTTAATGTTAGGTAGTAAAAATCCTAAAGTGAAATTCCCATTAGGTTACCGATTCGTATGTCTATTTGTATATTTGAATATTTTTCATAAATAGTTAAAAACTTTCATGAAACAACTTTAAATTTACTATTATATTCATATATTGTAATATTTAGAAATTACCATTTCAGTTGAAAGACTGTAAATACTGGTCAAAATCAATGTCATCTGCAGATTCGAACAATCCACTTAGTGATAGTTTAATGCAGGAGGAAGTAGCAAAAATGGTGATGCATTTACAAGACAATGATTCGTGTACTTCACATCAGGTAATTTATAGTTCGGTGTTTCTATTTTGATTTTTATACAACTTGTTGCTGTTTTGAATACCTATATGTTTACATATCTTACCGTCATTACTTTGATAAGGTGAAAAATGATGTAGAAAACAGTTGACATCATCTAATAAATGACCAAACTGTGTAAATCACTAGGTAGCTATTTCAAAATAACTTCTTTATAATTACAAAATGTGCCTTAGGACCTTCAGTTTTAAAGACCATGATGTATCATACATGAACTGAAATCCAATGATTTATAATTTTTGACTTATGAATTGAACTGTTAAATTTCTTATTATTATTCTGCTTTATTAAGTAGACAAGTGTCTTTGCCTTTTATTCCATCCATCATTATCTCTTATTACTTCCTAAACTATTACATAGTGTAAGCTTTTTATGATTGTTGATTACTTTGTTAAATGATGCAACCTTTTTTTATCTAATACTTAAAAACTTTAATTAAATTGAAATGGCGCCCTTTCATTTACAAATTACTGTACTCAATACTTGAAAAAAAGTTTTGATAATCTTGGCTATATTACGCGACACCACTTCATTAAGTTTAACTACCTTTGATAATTTTGTAAAACCGCTCTATTTTAATATGGACTGGTACGTGTAAAAAATAATTGATAAATATATAAATGCGAAAATTCATAAGATGATATCGTTCAAAAGAAAATGTCGTTTGTTGAGACATTTTATTTCTTTTCAATGAATAAAACATTTGTTTATGATATTCTCTTAGTTGATTTCAACCGTTACAATGTATATAGATCGTTAGTTTATTTTCAGTTATTTAAAAAAGACTTTATTATCGGTTGTAAAAGTTAAATAACTTTGATGATAATTTCGACTTACAAGCACTACTTTTGGGTACATACATATCCTGTATCATTTCATTCTATGTCAGTTACATATAAAATGATGTACTACTGTATAAATTAATAAAAGAGGATCTTAAATTTGTGTGTTTACAAAATTGAACTGGTTGGGTAATTATCTGGCTTTTCGAACTTAATTACCCATGTATAATCTATTTATAAACTTCAAAGAAGGGAAGTGATATTAATACAAGATGTATTTTTACATCGGTTTACTTAAAACATACAAGTCCTTTCCTTCACTGTACATCAGCGTCTTCTTGGTTAATATATTAGAACATTTATTGTAGTTAGATAGCTTTAGTGAATCGAAAGATCATATACAACCTACTTATGGATATTTCCGCATTCTTCTAACAAAATTGATTCGGTTGTGGTTATTTTATAAATATGTACACGTGTTTTTTCTTGAAAACTATATCTATACTTATTAACAAATAAGTTTCTGTAAATTTTTCCTTATGAGGTGTGTCGTTTATGTTTGGGTTATTTATAGAAAACAAAGAAATTAGATAGTAGAAAACTAATAACGTTTCAGTTTTGCCTTTATACTAAATATTGTGCTGTTTGATTTATGATAAAAAAAAGAAGAAATTACATAAATTATGTGCCTGTTGTGATATTTTACGGTGCTTTTTTATTGCTTAAATTAGTTGTACTCATTTTTTATTTGCTTAGACATATCTTTTTTTTTGTTGTCGTAACGTATTTCATTTAATTTATTCCAAAAATTTATTTATTCTTTTCAAAGCATTTTTCTTTATGTTTAGTCACTTCTTTGCCAATTTATCTCGTTAATTTCACCTTGCTGTACTGATATGGTAGAATAACTTGTATTGATATACATTTGTACCATATCCTGTAATGATTATAATTGACTGATGTAACCTTTTTCCTGGTACTTATAAGTACTTATAAGTAAATTGATCAACCGTTAGCTAAAAAACGCGTTATTAACAATAAAATTTATTTAAAGCATATTTTAGTGGTCATTCTTTCCTATTCTGCTCATGTTTTGAATATGATTCTCAGTAATAGATTGTGTTTTCTTGGCTTTGTAACTATACTACTGATAAATGTAATTAAGTTTAAGGTATGATCGCTTTTTCTTTAATAATTCAGTGTAAAGTTTAAGTTAACAACAACTCGGAAATATTTCCCAGGTGATATTCGTTTGTTATTTTCCTTTAATACAATTTATAATCGATTGAGAGGATCGATAATATCAGATCTTAGAACGTATACATAAAGCATATTATTGATTAATGTTAATAATTGACCAAGTATAATTTATATACTCAACTTTAAGCCATACTATTTTTATGAGAGCTTGTTCATACGACCTGGCTAGAATAAGTTAACCTATTCTGTTTCTGGCGATTTCGAATTAATTTTCATAGAAACCTAATGGATTTTATTGATTTGGTATTTGCGTGTAATTCATGCTATGATTGTTGTCATTATCATCACAATATAACATTCTCAACTGGAAATATTTTGTTGTGTTCAAAGAAAATAAACATAAATAAAAGGATGTTATGTTTGTTTAGTTAAAATAATTCATTATCATTGAAATCATAAGCCAGATTAGCTCCACTGGTCACGGCTTCTCACTAGAATACCAGAAACTTCCTCTCGTAGCTAGTCACCAGTGGCCACATGACAGTTGTCAGTATGGGGGTTTGTAGACTGTTGAACTTCATTAGAGTCCGTGTCAGATATGAGGTAGTTACTCGCCAAACACAATGGAAGATGATCACTCAATGTTGTTGCGTGATTAAGGTCAGACATTAACACTGTTGAATGCTGGCTTAGTGGTTAAGAGGTTAAGCATTCGTGCGCGAGACGATAGGTTTCAGGCTCGATTCCCAATTGCAGGGTCGTGAATGTGCACTACTGGGAAGTCTAGGAACAGAACGAAACGGCCATCTAGTGCTTTCAGGTTTTCAATCATGATCTAGCTTAGATAGGTTCATGACTTCAATGGAATTCGACAAACTCCACAACCCCATACTGAAAATAATTCATTATAACTTTTATACCGTAAAACGATTATAACAAAACTACCAAGTGCGTAATATTCTTTTGCATAGTTTAAGTCACACCAGTTCTCAAGGAAAGAATAAATATAAAATATAGTTAACTGACCAATAACTTCGATATTTTAGTCAACAGCAGGAAGTGTATCAAGCATCATATTAAATAGTTTGATAGAAATCACTTGTAATAATTTCAAATCCTTGTCTAGAAACTTCACAACGTAGTGTATAAAGTAGATTGTAATTTTATAACACCAGGATTATGTTGAGTTACAGCTACGAAACAATATAAGTTATACAAATTATCTGAAGACTATCAAACTATAGATTTTTATTTAGTGTAAATATGGTTACACCGTCCTCATCTATATAGTAGCCTAGTCTTATTTTTCCTAAGATAATAAATATTACACAATGTGATGTAGCTCATCGAGTGCAGATCTATGTACTCGACTTTTAGTCACAATTTGTGTATGAGGTTTAGTGCTATTATCCGGCTACCCAAAATGAAGTAATAAAGGTGGTCTTGAACGTGCGACTTAGTTTTTGAAATTCGTACCTCTTAATTACTAAGTCACCGATCTAAAAAGAGCATTGTACAAACCAATAGGCAATTTTTTTCTAGTAATCAGTTATTACATATTTCATGAAACATAAAATTTTCATTAATTTCATTTCACCACAGTTATAAAATTGTATTTCATATCTTTGTAGAGTTTGTGAATTTATATATGTGTGTATGTACTGCATATCACCAAATTTTAAAAAGTTTGTCTAGAAAGTCAAACTACATTTCATACATAACGTATTTGTTCTACATAAAACATGCTTAGAAATTGGTGTTACATTTACAAAAAGAAAGAATAACTTTTGATATTTATGTAATTAAGAATTAAGCTATCATATCACTATCGTTATATACGGTGGTATTTGTACCTTGTGTTAGTAATAATTGTAAACAAGTGTTTGCTTTTCTTACTGTATACTAACTCCTCATTTAACAAGTTCATATCATGATTTCAATTGGCACTGTTCGTTTGTTGTTCTTTTAACCACTTATTTTTTTCTCAAGAATTCATTTGCATGTTTTCAATATATCTTTGTGTATAATTTATTACGTTCAAATGTATTTGTTTACATAGTGAAATACTTATTTTTCTTTGTTTTAGATATAAATGTTACCTTATTATAATACAATAGGTCATAAGTGTAGTCGAAATGTTCTACCATATTATATATATATATATATATATATATATATATATATATATATATATATATATATATATATAGTTAACGTTACAGTTTGCCTTTTTTTGTAAGGGTTTTTCTCATTATCTTTTTTCTCTATGTTCTTTGTAACCTTATACCAATTCAACTTGTTTTACTAATGTAACCATTTCTTTTTTCATTTGTTGATGATGTCATTCTTCATTACTGTTACTAGTTAGTTACTGAATAATGATTCATCATAAAATCAAAATCAAAATTTATTGTTGTTTACCGACTAGTATATATGTTATGCATCTTGCTTTGGTTACTTTTTGGGATTTTTTTATAATACAAATCAAAGATAAGCCATGTATGTTTTATGTATTCTTTTTTTGAAGATAAAAGACTCCCTTTTCATATGATTCTGTTTATTTTACCCTTTAAGTTCATTTCCTACATTAAATGTTACGTATTGAACTTGAAACAAGTATTTCTAAGAAAATCAGGTCATTGTTTAAATAAAATAGTTTAATCAGATAAGATAAAACACTATAATCTTTTACGATATATGTTCAAACCTCGCACCATCTACTATGGCTTTGATTGATTGATAATATTACTATCCTTCAGATAAAAATTATGATTTAGTTTTTCTTAAGGCAACTTGTATTTACTTATCAATTTAACACGATATTTATAAATCTAACGAATATCAATTCTTTGCATTCTATGCACAGTTTCTTGTCAAACGACCACCTAATTTAATTTAGATACATTAATATTATAGTGTTTTTAGAAGTACTGTTATAAAAGTATACACATTAGAATATACAGTTTGTTGTGGTGTTCGCTTTATTTTTTTAATGATTGTTTTTACGAAAACACATAGAAACAAACTCGATACCTTATTATTTTGCTTATGTTTTGTGAGATACGTTTTCATTTATTCTCTCGTAAATTTTGATAGTTCACTTACCATTTATTGAGTTGTATTACTTATTTTGTTTATGATATAATCACTTTATTTTTAAAATGTAGAAAATAAGTTTGTTGCTCGTTAAGTAAGACTCATTTAATCCTTTTTTGGCTGATGGATTAATTCGTAAATGTATACTGATATCAATGATAAGTTCGCATTCATGTTCCAGTTTTTATTTGCACATATGCTAATCTTACTGTGTTCCACCTCAAATATGTTGTTCGCAATATTCGGTTATTTTGACCACGCGATTTATATTCCATTGTGTAGGGGGTTATTGTCGCACTGTTGTGTGTCACTCTCCCAAACTCTCGAGATCGCATTGGATCTCGTTCGAATCTTTATTCTTCGTAATTAAGAATTACCGTCGGCTAGACGGATCACAAAATATCACACCAAGTTGTCTAAAGTTTCTGTACGTAGCAGCAAACAGAAATTTCTAAGACGTTTTTTCCAATTATGATATAGTTTGTCAGTGACCTGTCCCACTAACAGCACGTCTAGAAAATAATCTAGAATGTAAACCCTATTCCGCAAATCATTGTTCTCGTAGTTTTTCAACAAACCTTGGTACACCAAAACCCTGTTGTTTTCCGTCTATTTCTTTACTTTCAGTAAAACAATTGATTATTGTATATAAGTAGTTAGCTACTAGATGTCCATAATAGACGTCATTACTTTCTTGAAGAATAGTTTCCTTTCTTTGTCATGAAAAAAAAAACAAATTTTCAATCTTAACCAAATGCTTAAATAATATCATAAATGCCATCGAAATCATGGACCGATTAATATTAGACCACCATTGGAGACCCAGAAGTACTGGATGTCTGTTTTACTATAGCATGGGACTGCTCAGCAGAGCATCCATTACCTCACACCTGAGAGTCGAATCCAGGACTTTCGGTCTTGAGCAGATGCTTACCCTTAAGATCAACGAGCTGGCATCCGACAGTGTTAATGTCTATCATCAGCCAATTTACGATGTTGCACGACTATCTTCTATTGTTTTCAGCGAGTAATTGCCTCACACTTGATACGGTTAAACTCAGTTAGTCACGGTTTCTCACTAAAAATTCAAGAACTACCTTTCGTAACTAATCAGTATTTAACACATGATAATTTCTGGTATGTACTTGCAAAAACTATTGAATTTCTTTTCATGGGAGTCCTACACTAGAACGAAATAGCCGTCTATTTCTTACAGGTTTCTAATGGAGGTCTAAAATTGGTCGGTTCATGATTTTGATGAAATTCTACAATCTTCACAATCTCATACTGTAAATAGTGTAAGAAAATTTCATGTTTATCAATTCCTGATTGACGTTATTTGTTAACTTTTGTTATTGTTAAAGTTTCTCCCTTTACATCTTACTTGATCATTAATAAGAATGAATGAGGATCAGCTGATGATTTAAAATAATCATTATGATTATTATCATTATTATTTTTTAATCCATCAAAATAAATGAAATTCTTGTAGCTCATTACTTTTTATACCATATAAGCAACAATAACGATAAGATTATTTCTCTAAATATGATACTTTGGTTGTCTAAAGAATAATCTATTAATCTTTCTATGGTTCATATTTCAAGTTACTAGATGTGCTTTCTTTTTACTGATTTTTATGGTAGATTTATTGATAAGATTAGTAAGATTAAACATCATATTAAAAGTAATAAAAAACATAATAAGAGTTTTATTTTATTTTAACATGCTACTCATATTTGTGTTGTTTTGTTCATTCTCATACATTATTTTTTGTTTGTTAATATTATGAATGTCCATTTGAAAAAAAGAGAGTTACTTTGAGTCGATCTAAGCTAGATCACAATTGAAAATCAGGTTTCCAATGGTGATCTAATTTAGGTCGACTCATGTATTCAACTATTAAAATCACTGCAATCTCCACAAACTCCCCTTCTGATATCAAATTGTTGTTTCTATCTTGGTCTCTACATAATGTGAAATAGTTTGATCTACTTTTTTTTTAATCATTAGTTTTATTGACGCTTTTATTTTCTCTTCATACAGCTGGAAAATCCTCTAATTACATGCACACCAAGTGCGAGTAACTCTATTGCTACTAGTTCGTCTGATGCGACTATTACTACTACTAGCACTACACTTACTACTGTCATTCCAAATGAGCAAAACACTTCAACTTTAAATAGTGATGCCAACTGTGAATCAATGACATCCATTACTGAGGATATTGACGATCGTTCACCTAATTGTCATTCTGAAGTAAAATCCGATACAGAAGATGTTTATGAATTCATTGAAGCAAATGGTAAAAAGTATCGACGTCATTTTCAACGACGTGTTGTCATTGAACGGCATAAAGTTAGAGAAGTAAGTAAATCTCGTTATTTTTTTTCCCTTTGTCTGTTAGTTTCTTTTTGTGCATTTTACAAATTGATTAAAATTAGTTCTGAAAGATTGAAAATAATGCGTGCTTTTTTCTCTCTCTTAATATCATTCAACAATATACAACGTCAGTATAATTAAAAATCATGAATTCACTGTTGTATTTTCTAATCATCAAAAAGACATTTATTTATAACTCGTGTAGGCGTCCAATTTGAGACATTACAGTTTGCTATTGTAGCATAGATTTAATATGTTGAATTTAGCTTGTCGACTAAATCTCAATATCATACCTCCTCTGCTTACAAGTTATCGAAAATTCCCATTTGACATACTAATGATAATAATAACAATAGAAAAAATGTCATGTTAAAACCATTTTATAAGTTAGATATAAATAAATTGTTTCTTTTCTAAGGTATTTTTATTAGTTAAAAGTCGTAATTCATGCCTACTATTTTCCGATATTCTACACTATCGATTAACTGATACTTTAGTGGATGGAGTTGTATTGAATCTGTTAACTCTAAACTGCCGATTGATTTGGGTCTGCATTGTGTAGTACATATATACTTTACATCATTGGTTTAGTATCTGTTTTTATTTTGTGGTTCACTCATTTGATATCTACCATATTACGCTCGCAGTTCGGTGTTTTTTTTAAATCTTGAGTGATTTTCAAATACCAGCTCTTTTCCTCTCTTCAGGTACTTGTTTACTAACTAACTATATCATTTTAATTGTAAAAGACTTTTAGGTTGTTTTGAAATTAGTGATTTGAATTGTAACTAGTTTAACATAAAGATGCAGTAATCCTTACAGTTCCTTGTACTTATGACTAAACTATGACTACAGTACTTTCTTCGGTCAACTTACATCTGTTCAGATTCTATTTTGAAGTTAATGACAATCTGCCACCATGTGACCCGAAAATATCTTCATTTGTTAATAAATTTGGCAGAATTTGTGTTCTGGATTATTCCTTGCTTTCTGTTAATCTCAGGAGCATTATCAAAACTTGAATATTTCCAAGTGTTAGCCATTTGTTTTGTGAAGTGTTATAATTCGTTGTTTTTTCGCTGTTCTAAAGTAATGTCAAATGTTTACTTACAGCTTTGTGCACTACTAAGTATATATATATATATATATATATATATATATATATATATATATATATCACTTTCAGTCGATAATCATTTATATAAGAATTCAACGTGACTATTTTTCAATGTTATATGGATCAATTTTTGTCATTTTTTCCGTCAGATTATATTAGCACCATCACTTCCAGATGGTATGGGACCAGATCTTAATCGAGTTACACTCAGCCGACCTGATCAGATAGATGCTAAATCCGTCAACAACAATAGTAATAATGAGGTTATTCCACCAATTGATACATTATCATTAAATAACTCTTGTAACTCTTCTTTAAATCATATCAATGCATCGAACTCTCCTGAATTTAAACCTCGATTCGGAAAATGTAATATTTCCTGTAATAATGCTGCTAATGGACGCAACGATTGTCTGGATCATGACGATTTAGAAGAATCCCAGTTCACCACCGCTGACGCTGGACCACCTAAACCATCTTTACCGAATGAGAAACCATGTAAGAGATTATTGTATAGTTTTAAATTTTGTTTCTAAAACATCCTCTTTTATTAATAAAAGCTATAATCTACAAATGTTACAGTAATATATATATATATATATATATATATATATATATATATATATATATATATAACCAGAAGATTGTAATCAGTTAAAATCTAACTGTATGTCTGCTACATTGCCTCACAATTTCCAAACTAATAATAAGTGGATACTAAGCCAACAAACCTATAATTGTATAGATCACTTAATAACTTCGTTTCTTCATTCATCTATTCAATCATAGGATAGATTGTTCTCCATTTAACTATCGCATCTCAACTTATACATATGATATTGTTTTTTCAAGACTAGTATGTCATCAACTAACTGAAATGTGCTGTACATATATGTAGTTTCGTCACATCAAAATATAATTAGGTTACAATAGTATTATTATGTATTGTTTACCAGGGAAAAGTATTTCATAATTAATGTACAGAAATGTGACTGCATAATAAATGCTGATTGACTGTATAAATGAATATCATAAACACACTTGAGTAGTTTATTTGTTTTACAATTTTATTGATAAATTAAAATGTAGAAATTTATTAGCTATCATAATATGACTATTAAACCGGTTAATTCTTTATCAGTATTCGTAGTCTCGCAGTTAATTTCATTATCCATATTTGTTTAGCTTTTTACTATTAAAAAACTTACTGTATCCCTCTGATTGTATTGTTACAGCAACAAATAGAATCAGATCTGTCATACATCACAGATAATGTACGACATGCAGGAAAAAATAGTAATTACCAGCCTGTATTTGTTTGTTCTTATTTGATATGACACTTTTCTTTTTTTTTCATTTGGATGATATCATAAAAAGACTTAAAAACTAGTCTGTATTGAAAACCAATTTAATATATTTCCCATGTTAACTGAAAGATCACGATCTGAATAGATTTGAATTGGATTTCCTTTAACTGTAGCTAAAATGTTTAGTTCGGTTGGATTTCAGTAGTATATTAACCAATCATCATTGATGAAATCTTTAACGTTTTTTGTATGTATGCTTGAATTACTCTGCAAAGCTTACTGACAAATGTTTGCCTCCATTATATATAATCTCATTTCAGTGATTAGTTATATGTTTCGATTCGGATCATCTGATTGTGACAATCCAGATGATGAACGACGTTTATCTGATCGATTAATTGATTTTTTCCGTGATCAATGGTTAAAAGAAGAGTCTGCAGCAGGACCACATGAACGTAAAAAAGTTATTTCTTATACACAAAGTTATACACAACCTACAGCCAATGGTGATTTTATTCATAAATCAACGTGGATTCAACATACATGCACAGTTCGAATGGTGAGTTATGTAACTATTTTTCTGATAAATCTATAACTACGTTAACCACTAATCTCATTTTATTTGATATTAATTAGTTCAAATAAATGAAAAGAATGTAAAAGGAATTGTGATCCGTACACTATGTACTCATTGCTTTATGAATTAACAATTTAAATCTAAAGATTAAAATGTGATGCATTCCATGTAGGTAGTTTGGTAATAAATAAAAATATGTTATGTATGCAAAGTCATTCAATATATTATATAATTTCACAGAGAAATTGTTGTAATAATATTGTTTTTATGAAGTTATCTGAATCCACTTATTTTTTTCATTTTTAGTAATCATAATGGTGAATAAGTTCAGCGGTTTGTTTACATTCTTTTTTTCTCGGTTTATTTGTATTTTGAAAGAGTGACTAACCCTTACCTTCTAAAGTACATGGTTTAATAGACCTCTTTATATAAGGTATCCAATTTAATGTGATTTGTTAGCATATTCTCTAGTGCTGCTAAATGTATGCCGGTGGTTTTCACATTCCGGATTGCCCACACCTTTGAAAGATAGTTTTTTCAGGTACCTGAAAAGAAAACCGGGTTATGGGTGGTCCTGACCACCTGGCTGTTTTACTGTAGAGCCTAAGGAGTTACTCGTTGAGGCTGGCCACACATGAACTCTGTACGAGTGGTTTGTGAATTGACAGCTCTGTATATTAAATGCCTTATCTTTGGCGATGGAAATCTACGGAGAAAGTTGAGGTGTACCATCTTTAAGATCGATCTTTTTGAACCCCAACTTTCTGTTGTGAAAATATAGCATCTTATCGCATGCGAGTTGTCTGAGGGAATCACTCTACTACCATCAAACTTTGTGCAGTCATCAGAATGACTTTGATCTCGTGCCCTAACCTATTACTTTTAGTGTTACTGTTCTTCGACCAACTTATTGAAAGAGTGTTCCAGCCAATATATCTTAATTAGTTGATCACGATATCTAACCGCAATCAGCATGCCAGAGTAACAGCTACTGTCAGATTTGTAACCATAATTGACTTGTTAAACAAAATCAAATTGTTGTACCCAGTCTTTCATATCACATATATTGTTTATTACCTGTACACTGAAAAATATGTAATTGTGTCTCTACCCAAATTGTTAACGGATTTTAATACATGGTAGATCTAGATAATTGTAAATATACACTGGTACGGGCCGCTTAATAATGACAATTTTTGTTATTCTTGTTAAAAATGATACTGAATTCCAAATAAAGTCAATGATTATAAAAAAGATACTAATATTGGTGATATATTTAGAAAATGATCACATACAAATGTATAGAACACTTTTGCGGGAAATTCGAACTATGAACTTTCCGAAGAAACATTGATACCCGCTTTTTAAATGTCATTGTCTTCATAGTTAAGTTGATCAGAAATCTTGGATCTGAGATAATTTAGACCAATAAGGTCATGTATAGCATGAAATGATAGTGGGAATAAACATTCAAAATTATTTTATTGGTAGCATCTTCGTTACTGAAAATCGTTAAAGAGGAATCATTATTCCAAATGTAAATTGACCCGGGGACTCAGAGTTATAAGTGAGAATGAAAGATGTGACTATTGGTTTCCTAGTTAGACCTGTGGTCTTACTCTTACTTGCCAATTTCAGTCATTGATTTTAAAGATTATGATCTCAGAGCACTCACCATTTTCGAAATAGCAATTAGTCATTGGTGAAGTCAGATGAACATCAAGCTGTTAAAATAGTGATAAGAAACGAAATAACTTTATTGTAAAAATTACGTCTGGTATCTCTTTTAATATACATTTAATATACCTTTCAAAAGAAGAGAATATTTTGCTCGAGATAGCATTAATACAACTTTTTATCAATACTTTGTTCTGTAACTTGTAACCGAAAAATCTTCCGTTCATTTTAACTGATAACATAAATATCCAAACTATGAATTAGCTAATAGTTTCATAGATTTTGATTACAATATACTCATTTTTCGATCCAGAAGCATTTGCTTTTAAAGTAGAAAAAATCACCCTTCACAATATCTTTTTCCGAATGTGCCATTGAATAAAAGCTGATTTTTTTCAGGCTTCATTTCATCTAGTCATTTTATCCCATTTCCGCGGACTTTTTACGAAAGAACTGTTATACTAGAATGATTGATGATTACAGATAGTTATTCACCGAACCAATCTTCGTGTTCTGAGGGAATATTAAGAAAATAAAAGCCTTGTCTGTCTAACTGAATAGTGTATACTAATGAAATAAACCTGTCAATTATACACAGAAAACTAAGCTTAGAAAGTATAAATTCGAATCACTTAGTTTCTAAGATGACAATAGACTGAAAACGAAAACTTGAATCATTTAGAATCTGCTTAATCTAAACTTTTGATTGTAATATTTAAATTCGTAGAAAAGTAGTACTAATATTTATAAGTAATGTAATTGAGTGGTCAGTCATATAGAAGCAACTATTTTTATGGTGAATAATCAAAATACTCCTGTTGTGATACGTTGATTACTTTGTTTCAATTTCGTTGTTTATATAAGCACATTTTACAAATAACGTTTTGGTAATTATTTATGTTTTTATATTCTATTCCAGGTTGGAGGTCTTCAAGGATTAAAAGCTCAGGTGGGTTCAATGTATTTTGTTTATTAAAAATTTGTATTATGCTATTATAATTTCACCTTTAGGTGACCATCAGTATGTATGAGACTAAACAAGCCACACAGTTGGATGGAATAGAAAAAGATTGATAAAGTATTTCCTGTTAATCAAAATAAACAGTAAACATCTGTAGTATAAATGACTCATTACTTCGTTAAAAAAAATGTGGTTAACTCCAAGGTATTTAAATCATGTTTTGTAGTGTTACCAGATATTTAAAAGACATAGGAGGTGTTATTCACTGAACAATCTTTTACATAATACATTTAGTAAACAAACTATCATGCTATTATCTTTAATTTTTAAGTAAGTCACAAAGTCGTGTTGTCGTTATTATTTTTCGTGCTTGTTTTTACTACTTACAACTTTTCAGTAGTGACAATTTAAAAATAAATTTTTAAAGTTGATTATATAAACTGTTAGTCGAATTAGACAGGATAATATCCTTTTCGCAGTACATCAACCCAGCGAAACTCTGCATTAGGAAGCAGATTTTAGCTTACATTTGCTATAAATCACATATTAGATCCTCAGAGAAAGAAATAGTAATCAAAAACTTTATACATATTTTGGCTTGTAGTTACCAGTAGTGGAGTCTTGTATTTCCATCCTATTTTTACTCAATACTCTAATACTGGAGGTAGAACAATGCTGTTCATTTTCTCAAACTATTAAAGATTTCTTCGATATGATTAAAAAAACTCAATTCAAGGGTACATTGTTGTTATTTAGTTTTCTCTAACATCGCCTTTCTTATTGTTCTCAACAAAATATAAACTGACCGTTTCAATTATTAGTTTTCTCACAATCTGATTCATTTATTTAGTATATAGTTAATAAATTTTATTGTATATATTTTCAATTGGCCTTACAATTGTTTCCACATTATCGCGTTTGTCTTCTCTTTTCAATCAATGACACAACTATTTTTATTGCGCCTAATTTATTTGGCTGTAATAAAAAGTATCATCGAGTGTTTCATGTATCGTATCAAATTAAAATGTCAACTGTTTTCTATCCATTTTTTATTTCATGTACAAGTTCATCATTATTGATAGACATCTTACAATTCATTCCATCTAATTACTATTTGCTTAAATCCAGTTTTGAATAATAGCTATGTATAAAACACGTTTGTAACTGGAGAAGTAAAAGTAGTATACTGAACGATAATTCGGTTGAGAAAACCAATTTATTGTTGAATGCAAGATTACAGTGTGTTTTCGTAAAATATAAAAACCATACATTAAATTCATTATTTTCACATCTTCCTTCAGTTGGTCTTTACTTGCTTCATGATTCTTTCAATTCTATTGTTATTACAATTGCTTTTTGTTTTCCTTTCTATTCTCTTCAATTCAATTTTCTGTTGCCAGGCATTCCAATTCCAATTACTGCTACATTCTACTTTTATCTGCCAGCATAAGTAGCATGCGCTACAGTACAAACATACACTTAAATGTAAATCTTAATCGTCTTATTTTTCCTATATAGTAAATATTTGGTTTGTCTAATAATTTTTTAATTTCATGCTCATTATGATTTTTTTTTGCAATTTACGCTCACAATACTTTACAATGTTTATAACAATGAAATTTATTTATTGAATAACGTACGAATGTATTTTTACGAAAATCATTATTGACTACTTAATAAAATAATTTCATTAACTGGTATCTTAAAATACATGTAGAACGTTCACTTAAAAGAAAATTCTGGACTTCGTGTATAAATGGTTTTTTTCATTTTTTCTTCTCAATGTTACTACAAACATGTTACTGAATAAATTGTCATTTGTGTACTGTAGGTTGGAATGTATATTAAAATTTCTTGTGACTCTGAAGTAATCAACAATATCAGTGTAGGTTTGTGAAGATTGTTGAGTTTTAATTGAGATAATGTTCCGATCAATCGTGGATTGCTTGAATTTAGACATTAACACTATTGTATTCAGTGGTCTAGACTGTATGTGTTCGGGCGCGAGACCAAAGGTTCTGGGTTCGGGTTCCGTGTGTGGGATCGTGGCTGCGCGCTGCTAAGGAGCTTCATACCAGAACGAAACGGCCCTTCAATGCATCCAAGTTTCCAATGGCAGCCTAACATTGATCGGTTCATGATTTTAATAGCCAATAATAGTTGCCTTCTTCAGTTGACTATATTTTAGTGAGCTATTTTGTAAATGTTCATTAAATCTAAAGTAAATTTTCATCGCAAATTGATACTAACTGCTGAACCATTGAAAATTCAGGGAGTAAAATATGATTCTAAGTTTTGTTCCAGTTGTTTAATTCAATCTATTGATATAAGCATAACACTAAAAAAATATTCAGTTCATATGTGTAAATGACGGTAGAGAGGGTTTGTAGTTCAGATAGATGTTTCATTGTAGTGTTTCGTTCTTCATATTTAATTCCGAATCTTACACTGTCTTTTCACATAATTTCACAAGCCCCTTTCTTTGCAAAAACAAACCTTTTAACCTTTATCAATCTATTCCATTGACATTGTGGTTGTAACATACAACTACATCATACAAGTGAATCAAACGTGTTACCATAAAATACATATTTTATTTTCGAAATTTGAACTTAAAAAGTTGTCACTAGATTCCATATTTCTAGAAAATTGTAATTTAATGAAATAGGAGAATATATCTTTGTCAGTTGAAATGTCGTTTGAAATTGTTTTCTAACGAAAAGACTGCTTCTCAAATATGTTCCATTTCAGAACTCTACTTTTTTCTCGAATAAGATTTCCCGTGATTAATCTTTTCTACTACTAATAATTCCGGTACGTCTTACACTGCTCTGACATATTGTTATATAAATGTTATGTTGCCACCTGAACCGATGCATATGTGTGTCATGTCCTACATTGTGTATGATTCACTGACTAAAGGCTGTGTAGGGAATTATAGCGTTTGCCTCATTACTCTTGAAAAGTTATGGTCAATTGAAATCACATACCGAGGGGTTTCTGACATGTACTTATGGTCCTAATTTTTAGTCGAAACATCAAAAGACTCTTCTGAAGCTTATTCCTTTCACCAAAGCATATTGTGCGTTTAATCTAATAGTAGTCTTTTGATCGTTTTGGTAAAATAAAAAGATTACGGACATTCAAGTTTACTAGACTCATTCGTTTTCATTGATCCATAGGTAAGGAGCATAGCCTAATGGCTAAATAAGTAGATGAATATTGTAAACTATAATAGGATCAGAATATTTGTAATGAACGAGAACTCAGGTGGAAGATAACCGATTCATTATTATTTCATACAAAATTACAGAATGTCTTGGTAAAATATGAGAACCATACATCAAATGCTTCATTTGCAAGTCTTCCATCAATTGTCCTTTACATTCTATCTGATTCTTTCTGTTCATAATGATTTTCTATTTCCCTTTCTGTTTTCTTCAGTTTGATCTTCTTAACCTTGTGCTGCCAGCTATCCTATCTTTGATTGGTGTTACATACTACGTATGTAGACAGACATAAGTAGCATGCACCACATATTACTTCAACAAAAAATGATTGTGTTGTATTAATTAGAATAGACGTAAAGGGATATTTGAGGTCATCTGATATCAGGATGTTATATTCATTGGATCACCACTATCCTTTAAGTATTTTTCTATGAAACCATGGGATAATTCTTGTAGAAGTAGTGATCCTATGTAACGTAAATCAATCCATAGTCATCAGTGTTTTCACTATAAAAGTAAATCTTAAGTATCTCAGTTCAGTTTGTGGCATCCTTTTCTATGATGTTCATACTTCTTTTTGACGGAGATATTTTGGACTATATTGTTTGTCTGGAGTTAAAATAAGTTTCAGAATATAAATTTCTCAGTCATATTTTGCAATTATTCTCACGAGACTCGTTTAAGTGTTTTCGCTATTAAAATTTACGCTGCTGTACTGATATAGTATGACAACTTGAACCTATAAACATATGTGATAGGTTCTACGTTGCTTATTACTGACCGATTCAAATCGTGATTTAAAAAATCATGTTATTCTTTAATTTCATACTTAATTTAGTTTTGATATTTCTTCTTTCATTTGAAACTCCTAGTGTTGACATCTCATTCGTTGAGTGTGGCTAATAAAATTCAATGGTTTTCTTTCTCATAGAAGTGTTTGATTTTCCCTTACTTGTTTAATGATGGAATTGATATGTTTGTCATATCGTATGTCTTCGTAGAATACATAATATCTACCAGTTAACATACATTTAAAAGTAACGGACTGGATGAAATTTTCATTGAAAAAATTTAGCTTTAGTATACATAGATGATTATGTGTGTGAAGCAAAGCTTTCATGTGTAGATGTGTATAAGGGTGACTTGTTAGATTTTCTAAATTCCATTTGTAACATAGTATCAATAAAGTACTCGATACCGATGATAAATATGGTTATGATAAATCTTATGGATATTCTTGTGTAGACTTCTAAAAATAGGGTTATTTATTTCGTTCAGTGTATGTGCATGAACATATGCTTACTTGGTGATATAATCTCCTACTAATTAACAAAAAGATAATTAAAATCTCGATCTGTATGCATGTACATTAATTTGTCTTTTAAAAATCACCTCTATGTCGCCATTCCCATCTGCAGTTGCATTACAACATGTTAATTCTGTAATCTTTTTCTGCTCACAAATGTTATCTTCTCTCATTGATGTTTTGTGTTAATCCACACTGAAAATTTATTCAAACTGAATACATGATTATGTAACAGTAGATCAATAATTGCATGACAAATATTACATATGTATATATGTACTGGTGTTTCTCTATCTATCTTTATTGCTTGTCAGTACTAAAATCATGAGTGAATGCGAACTTACACAACCGTATCTTTTCAGTTTGTTATATTTAACAAGCGACTGATTATAATGATTGAAATATTGTTTATTCAGTTATTTACTATGATTCATCTGATTTACTGACTGACAAGCGTAAGTTTAATATATATATATATATATATATATATATATATATACGTGTGATATGCATAAACTATGGATTACTGAACAACATATCAGTATGTAACTGGAGCACTACAGTATTATTTCGATTGATAACATTTTATGTTGTTAATGATTGTCGTACCAATAATCTGTTTTTCGGTAAGTAAGGAAAAATATTTGATTAAACTTTATATATGTACATTTATTAGTCATCATAGAAGTCATTTAAGTGTAACTCCTTAAATTTGCACTGCTCAAGATAAGGATAATTTCAAACATCATTCATTTTGATTAGAAAGTCTTATTAAATTACTTTAGAGTTTTTGGAAAACTCTGAATGAACACCTTTATTAGTGTAAAATTAAGCTAGTTCGTAGTCAGTTTGAACATTTATAGTTTCAAGTTAAATGAATGACGTAAACAGAAAGTATTTAATTAATCAAATCTTTAATTGTTTACCAAGTATGCAGTCAGTATTTCATTTTCAATACTTTTGTTGGTACATGAGAAATATATATTCAAATGTAGCTTAATTAATATCTTAAATTCACTATTTCGAGTTACATATATAGGGTTCAAAGCCGTATTACCTATCCGCTGTTTATTTATCATATGTTCACAATAGAGAATCTGTTTAAATTCTGCTTTATATAATGTAAATAATTCACTAAATTGTTGTACATGATGATGATACAACTAGTTAACTAAGTACACGTTCATGTACCTGACCCAATGTTAGACTTTCATGTAATTGCTAATGATACTACATTGCTAATATAGAACCAAAATAGGCAGAATGTATTTTTTTTGTAAATGTATCTCAATGGCTAGAAGTTTAGTTACTTAGTTACTCGTGTTGTATGCAGTTTGAAAGTGGAATATGGCTACAATTTGCACATTAAGCACTAGGTCGATTGTGAGTAATGTTTTTAAAAAAAATTCATATGATAGTTTTTGTAAAGCATTTAATGTTTGTATATACCTTAAAATAGCGAACTATTCGTATCATAAATATTGAAGTTGTTGGTAAATTGTGTTTTGGTGGGTTGATTTTCAATTATTATTCACATTACATACTTGTTAACTTGATAAGTGAAAAACATACTTCTTGATATGCAAACTGAAATTAAACCAATTTTTCTCAGTAGTACAGTCAAACTCAAGAAATAAATATTTTCTGATTTTTCGTTTTGTAACTGGGATGGTTTAATTAACAGGACTTCATTCTCATTCTGGATAAAACAAATGTATGTAGGCGCAGATGATGTTATTTAAAACAACATTAAACGCTTCTCAATTAAACTCTGCAGTTCAGAAAACACAACACCACGAAATACATAATTCCGAACTGAAAAATCCAGAATAAATTTTTAAAATACTCTTATATCTCCACGATTTTCATCTTCCTTTAACATTCTATTCACTTTAAAAATGTTCGAGAAATAAACTTTTTTTGGGACAAATCAGCCCATCTTTATGATTGATTCATTTCATTTACACAAAGAACGATGATAGAATAAAATTCTCATGAAGGCGTTTCAAATCTAAGACAGTAAATTATCGTTCAGTTCTATGTTCAGCTTTGAAAATAAACGTTCTTAAATCTTGCATGAGATGTTGAGCAATTCTATTTGGGTTTACGTGCATGAATTCTAATGGAATTCTGCCTTATTTCTGATAAAGAATATACAATAAGAAAAATTATTCATAGCATTTTTCCTAAGTATAAAACTTTTTTTTATAGGTATTTATTTATTCTTTGTTAACCATAGAATGAAATCAACTTTCTCTGTCTAATTTCAATAACCTGTTCTAAAATTTGGATAAATCAACTAGGTTGCGTGCGATAGTCATGGAATGTTGAAAATACGATTTGATATTTTGAATTGTTATTAAATATAATAACAAATATAATAGTTATCGCTTTGTTTAGTTTTATACGGTTCCTGCAGGCTTTTGTTGATTTCAGTAAAGCTCGAACACTATTCATAGTAGATTCATTTCTATCATCAATTCCCCTCAGCTTCTTACAACCAACAAACAATAGTATGAATTAACAAAAAGAAAAAAACAAATGTATACATGTTATATTATCTCGCTTACAGAAATTCCTAATCAAGGTAGATTAGTAGAAACGAATAAATATGTAAGAATCACAAGAGTCGTTCAAATGGTCGACTGTATACACCATAACTGTATTAACATTCTGGAAGGAAAAATTGAAGATGTCGATAGATTCCGAAAAACAGAGAATTAATATCATATATTACTTAATGTTATATATAAAAATGATTGATCAGTGGAAATAATTGTGAACGTGAAAGAAAAATTCAACATTTTAATTAAGGGTTTAAAATATTACGTTATGTAACAACTTCTTAAGTACTCATTCCACCATACCAAATAATGATAGCAGCTAGTTCCATCTGCCTTTACAAATTTGGTACGAACTCTATGAATAGTTATTTTATACTAGTCATAGTGATGTTTTTTTTCCAACTTGTTCTTATTTGAGTATAAAAGTTGCGTAATGTGTAATAACGTGATGATGTAATGTATGATAATTATTTAATGGAATCCCATACGTTTATCAGATGATTAAATCATAAGCGAAATGCATTTTCATCATTTTTCTTCTACCATCATTATCCTTAGTTTATTTTAAAGTGTTTTTTGCAGATAGTTAAAAATTGCTGTAAGGAATCAATCTGTCTGATAGTTGGAAAGATTGTGCAACTAAAATAAACATTACTCAACAACTTAAATTAGATCTTATTTATTTATTAATTTAACCACATAGATATTGGTACAAGGAAGCACCAAATACATATGCGCCACACAAATCTCATTTGATATGTGTGAGAGCTGTGATACTGCCCGGGTGCCCAAACCGAAGCAGGTGGTTTTCTTAGGGGGCCACACCCGGAGCTTTTGACCTGAAGGTCTGATCCACAAGGCAGTGGAGCAACGTAAAGAGATGCAGTCCCATGGAAGCCGGTGACCAACGATTGGTTCATACGCCATTTGTTCCTTCAGAATACTGGAGCTCATGTGCACCATTGATTTGGAATCAGGGTTTTCCAACTCCCCTAGGTGGACTCTCCATGTCCACCAACCCGGATAAATCGCCGGACATTCGCTTTGCGTCCTCTCAGTTTCGTAAACAACACCCCCGCCTTGAGAAGGCAGTGAGTAGGACTTCCCTGGTAGAGGCTATATACGCGTGGCCATGTGAGAGCATTTTGAGAGGAAGAGTTGACTCCCACCACTCTCGGCCGTACCAGGGCGTTTGGGGGCAAATTAAATCTAGTGAAAAAGAGTTTGTAGTTGAAACTTTACAGTTAAATATATAGTTTTTTCATCTTAATAAGCCACATAATATTCTGTTTCTTTGTTACCGTTCGATCAAAGTTCAATTTTCAGTATTTTTAAGTAGCTTCGTTTACTTCTAGTCAAGATGCGCGTCTATTTTTTTTTGTTTCATTTTAATTAGGAAACAAACAAATTGTTTATTTTGACATTTCGTTGATTTCCTGCTATCCACTATTATGCCATTACTGTTATTTCAGCTTGAAAATTTTATATACCGGCTTATTTATTGTGATTGACACAAAGTTTGACATTTGACACTAAAAGTTCAAATTATATTAATTCATCAGCTTACGTTGCTGATCATTATTGTAGTTACAAACATGTGGTCAGTCCTTTTTATGTAACCTGGTCATAGTGATTCGTGTATACATTTATTCATTTAACATAAGCTTGTATTATCTTATGTGCACACAGTTTACCCTGTATATTGTTCACTATATTCACGTGTTTGTGATCTAAGTGAAGTATATACATATATGTTCACACGCACAGAGAAAATCCATGTGTCTCAGGTCGATTACGTAATTTGCCAATAATCAAGCAAAACTGTTTGCTTGTAACTAAAATATTTCTTTTCTTTGTTTACTGAATATTATTTAGGCTAGTCGTAATGCTGAAATGAAATTACCTGAAATATTATCAGACGATGAATTTTCAGATAAAATATCTTGTAATTCACTTACTTCATCATCCAACGAAAGTAAGTTTTATTAATTGATAAAATTCTATATTTTCTTCAAACAGTAACATCATCTTTAACTGAAGAAACAGATTTATCACAACAATTAAAAGAGGATTCATCAGAGTTTAACCGTCACCAACCAAAAATCATGTAAGTTACAGTATTTTTTCTTATCATTTATACCTTTTGTTTTAATTGATAGGATGTGAAGTAGCTGAGCGTGTCGACAGCTTTACTTATCTTGGGAGTCTCACCAACCCTTGTGGTTTGATGTGTGACGAAATCTCAGCACGGATACAGAAGGCTCGACTAGCTTTTGCCAACTTGCATCATTTATGGCGTAGGTGAGATATCCGTCTATCAACCAAAGGTCGTTTTTACTGCGCAGCAGTTCGTTCCGTCCTACTTTATGGCAGTGAAATATGGCCGGTAAGAGTAGAGGATGTCCGTTGGTTACTAGAATTCGACCACCGACTGCCCAACGAGCGAGGTTTTATGGTGTAGGAGTAGGTTGGAAGAAAGGTAGAGGTGGCCAGACCGAAACATGGCACAAATCCATAAAGGCAATGGCAAGTGAACTGAGCCATGTTAGTAGGTGTAGACTACCTGGTTGAGATCCGTGAGACGATAGCAACCGATGGTTAGAGACCCTGAATGGTATGGCTCAAAATCGTTTGCAACGGCGCAGGTGTATCCACTCTTTGTGTTCTCCCATATTCTAATCTTCTGGATTCTTCATGTCCCTTTTTTCTCTTCACAAATTTATTTCATTGGATTATACTCCTTGAATAACATCTTCAAACCCTAACCTTTCCGATTACTGTTTATAATTTTACTACCTCTACCACTATGGGATTTGAATCGACAATTGTATCTGTGTGCTAATATGGTATGACAACTTGAACTGATGTACGTACGTACATACGACGTTCTACGTTGTTGTTGACTGACTGACTAACTTGGTTTTAATAAATTAACTAATTTGTACTTAGAATACTAAATATTGCAATGAATTATATGTCAAAATTTCAAGATCCAACCGTTGATCAAACTTAGTTCATCATTAAGTATTTATTTAAATATCCTAACAATCTTATCAACAATTGGATTGTATAAATAACTCTGTAGATTTTTTCCTCATATAATACTATAACTATAATCTAAGTATTTCTAATTTTATAGTCCCACCATACTCTTGTGATGGTTCGAAAATATATTTAGTAAAATAATCCTTATTGCTATAATCAGTAAAGTATCATTTAAGATTTAATAATTACAAGCTAACATGGACTGAGTTTAATGAAAAGCTGAAATGTTCACAAAATAATTTGAATGAGTATGTATGTAATTATTTTTGTAATTATTCTTAAACTTATTGAGCTTATCTGACCGGAAGTTTTTTCACTATATTAGAATAACTAGAAATAATTATCCATTAATTTAATTATAAAATGAGTATTCTAGACTGTTATACAATCGAGTAATTGAGAATTAACTATCTATCAGAATTGTGGTTAATTTTTCTATATTGGTACACAATTTATTATTCAAAACTGGTTTTAATTGTTTTAAAATTTTCTTTTCGACGTCTTATAGTATTACCAGTGACGAAACAGATGATGAAGAAATACGTGATAACCATATATCTACAGTAACTCAAGAAAGAGAAATTTACACAACTCTACCTATCGTGGAAGCTACTAATATACTACCTATCCTAAGTCTTTTAAAAGCAAACGATTATTTAGTATGGGGTGATCGAAATTCTGTAAGTATCAAATAATTCATTATTATTATTGTTATCATAACTATATTTATTGTTATTATTCACTATATACATAAAGGAACTGAATGAGTAGTTTTCTTTCTCTTGAATAAATAATAATGTAAATGATATCTCTTAGATATTAATAATTACTCAAATGATGTTCAAATAACTATTGAGAATATTCGTACCTTTGTTTCATCAATAATGAATAAGTTATTATCAGAAGGGGTTTTGTGGAGATTTTAGAAATTTCATTGATTGAAATCATGAGTCAATTGAAGCTAGACCACTGTGGAAAACCTGGAAGCACTGGACAGCCGTTTCGTCCTAGTATGAGACTCCTCAGTGGAGTTCAACCAAGTCTGTTGTGAGATATCAACTCACTCAAGACAATGGTGTACGGTGGCGCAACTTCGTGGATTGGTTAGACATTAACACCGTTGGATGCCGACTCAGTGGTCTAGTTGGTTAAACGCCTAGCGCGAGACTGATAGGTCCTGGAGTCGAAACTCGCGGGGCGCGGGATCGTGGATGCGCACTGCTGAGGAGTCCCATGCTAGGACGGAACGGCTGTCCAGTGCTTCGACGTTTTCCATGGTGGTCTAGCTACAATTGACTCGTGATTTCAATCAGTGAAAAAGTTATTATCATTCACTTCAAACATTGGTTGATTCAACTGAACATTGGATCACATCCTCTTAACCTTTAGAATTAACCCATAAGTGTATGTATTCTAACAAAATATTTCTGAAAACAATTAAATAATTACTCCCATTGAAACTAACCAGTTGTTGTTATCATGCTTCAAAGTATTCATCATAATGGTTACTTACTACATTTTCATGATTAAATCCATCTTTCTTCCAAATTCCAATTATCCCTCGTTGTTTTAAAGAATATAAATTATTTACATTTCTCTTTTATTGACGTTAAAAGTGCATTGTATTTTAAAAAAAAAAACTTTTTTTTACTTATTTCATTCGCTTAAAATTGTTGATGTGATTTACGATTACACATTTTTCTTTCATTTTCATTCTCTCTAATAAGTTAGTCCATTATTGTTGACCATAATATCTTTAGGACATTAACTACCTGATAATCTAAACTTTGATAACCAAGAAAAAGATTGAATCGATTGTTCACTAACTGAAAAGTCATCCTTCATTATATTGATTTATTTTTGTAGTTTACTAAAAAGAAATGTAGTTTTATGAAGATTTCTTTTTTCTTTTTAACTATAGTGAAGCGATTAGTTTATTATTTCAATGTAATTTATTTAATAAATCACTCATACATAATATAAGAAATAGCTGACATAACTTATTTCTATCTTTTGAAATTAGCTCATTACATTTTTATCATTCACTAAACGTTAATTACATAATATCATAGTGATTGAATAAAAAGAAACCTTAGTAAAAATTTTGCATTTGAATTAATCCTGATTAGTCATGTTGATAATTATTTCGTAAAATTTCATTACAAAAAACATTCTCCTGTAGTGTCGGTTATTATGTTAAGCCCATATAATTTATTCTGGCTTTCGGACAGGCGAATCTACTCATTCTGTAATGAACAGAACATGGGCGGGGACAATGGAATTATATTTAGCACAAAATTACAGAGTTAATTGGTAAAATAGAAAAACCATACTATAATACTTAATTTTCAAAATGTTTAATAATTGTCTCGAACTTCGTTGTTCTTGCATTTCCATACTAATTGCTTTCTATTCCCGTTCTTCCTTTCTTGATCTTCCCCATCTTCTGCTGCCAGATATTACATTCCTGACTCGCGTCATATACTACTTATATCAATATAAGTAGCACGCACCACAATTCTACTTCAGTCATATTTTGACTTTGTTAATTATTCCCTTATCAACCTTGACTGTTTTTGTATGAGTGTATGTGTGTGTACATTTTTATCCTATTCATCACATGTCTGTAACTTATTTTTGTGTAACTATAAATGTTGATTAACGCTTTACTAAAGGGAATTCGCTTCACTGCGTGTCGTTTCGCTTCGTATAAAAAATATATGTATTCAAAAGTCCATTCTCGTTATTTGAACTATTTAATTCCGTTATTGACTAACTCGATTTAAGTCGATGATTATGTACGAGAATAGGCGACATATACATTTCGACAACAATCATTCATAAGATCTACTTGAAGTCAGATCTCGGGCCACTAAAGTCGAGAGCCCGTCAACAAACATCGTCCTATCTAAATGACGACAAAATAAAGGGTCCCACTAAACTCCTAATGGTTAAGATGACAAACTTTTAACCATTTAATAACAAGCTCCCTATCCTTCTACATCTATTTCTGTTTCGAAGGCTAGCTGAATGCTTTTACTAGTCTCCAAATATAAAGTATAACTCAAACCCAATCACATAAAGACTTTTTTTAATGTCGGTATCTTATTCCTCCGACAGTTATTCATTTAAACATTCTTATATTTGCTGCTTTTACTGTATCTTCATTTCATTTAGTAAATTTCATTTTTAAACTGTACAAAGATTTGTTCTTTATATATTTTATTTTCCTAGCTAAATGATATTTCTGTACATGCTGGATGTATTGATGCTTTAATAGTATATATAACATCATATGGCCGTATGTCACCATCATGTAAGTTAATTTGTGTGCTTGTTTGTTTTTCATTGTTTCCAAGGTTATTTTTATTTGAGCCCTAGAGTAGTTATTTCATTTTCAATTTATAAGATAGATCATTAAAATTGAGTCAGTAATCTAAAGTTATTATGCTCGTTGCGAGACTTCAAAACCTCGAGTTTGATCCCTGAATGAATCGTACGTTTACAATTTAAAGTAATCTCAAAATAGATCGAGGAGTCATTTAATGCTCTCTTATTTCCAAAGAGTTAATGATAATTTCGGGTTGTTTCAGATTATGGTCCAACCTAACTTTGGAAACAATATATCTTTCTCTATCTCTGATCTATATATAAAAAAGTAGTTATATGGAATTTATTTTTGATTAGTATCAGTTGGAAATCCTTTGACGATTGCCTTCGAAAGACTAACTATAGTGTAATCGTAATGTATATCCTGTCAGTTTAGTTTAATTTCATAACGAATGTCATTTCTCCATTATCGTAACAAATGTCAATAAATAAAACGCATGACATAATATTTCGGTTATATGAATTCAGCTTTGTACCAAGTCTCCAATAGCTGTAAAAAATATCCCAATAAACTACTAACTGTAGTGTTCGTATTTTTCCTGTTGTCAGTGTCAACTGTTTAGTACGGTAGATACTTTGCTCGTCTAGTGTCATTGTGAACATCAATACTGAGATCCAGGTACAGTTGACTAATAATTTTAGCACATGAAAAAACACAGGTTTTACATTTTCCTATTAATCACTATCGGGGATATTATTTTCAAAATCAATGTTTCTGTATTTTGTTTTCAACAAAAAATGAGGTTTTTACATTGTCGTTCCTTTATTGTTTGTTTGTCCGTTCTTTTCTTTTTTCTTTTATTACAGATTATTTATTTTTCGAAACATTTCTTTTTATGTATCGTTCATTTATGACATCTGATGAATTAGTGAATCGTTTGATAACGCGTTATCATTACTTTAGCCATCCTCCACGTTATTTATCGCATTTGACAAATTTATCTCATGAGACCAGATCTAAAGTGTGTACGTCTACTGTGTCAATTTTAGTGACTGTGGTAAGATTTCGTTTTTGATTATTAGTTTGATATTACATTGATTTATAGCTGTATAATCTTATTGTAAGTGTTTTTGTAGTGATTATTTACGGGATGCTCGAAGTTTTCCCGAAATCTAAGTATTTGTAACCTGATCACACTTTCTATGAATAAACTAAGTTTATAGTATTTTAATTTCTAAATTTTATCCCCCTCATATTTTGTATCTTTTAAAGTCATGTTACATTAACTTGCCTCTGTCATGCATATATCTGGTCATCAAATTATCTCAATTATCTCTTCATAATAACTGATGACTTACAATTATATCAGACCGTGGTATTTTAGTATCTACGTCTAAATCATCATACTATTGCTACTGTACCAAAGAATACATATCATTTGTGTGTAATGCAATAGAAGTCAAGAGTTTTAAATGGGTTCTTCTTATAATTATTTAAGGTAATAGTCCTAGAATATTAAGTTAATTTTATTACAATCTAACACAAATGTAAGTTTAGAAATAAAAATAGGATGCGTGAATCTTCCGCACTAGGTTGTGATCATATTTAACACAAAAAAGATAGGTCAAAATATTACCAAAGCAATTGAAGGTTAACTACTTATTTTTTTTAGGTATAAAAGTTAAGTTGAAACCCAATTCCCATGGCTTCTACTAAATTCAATAACGTGGAATTGGACGTTTAATTGAAAATTTTGAATCAATTCATTACATCCAATTTGTGCCCCTTGTCTAGTAGATGACATGCTACTAAACTATGTAGGCAATTATCTCCTCGAAGGCGTAGATTTTTGGAATATGCCCATGAAAACGTGAATTGTTTTTTTAGCGAGTTAGTTTTCTGCGGGATGGGGTCGCTAACCCCACGCCCACCCTCCTCCTTTATCCAGGCTTGAGATCGGCTGTATCCAAAAAAAAGGGCTTCACGCGGAGTAGATTACTTAAGCACTTGGAGTTGCATGCACATTTAAAGTAATTTATGCAATTCAAGGTAACATACTGAAGTCAATGATATGGAAGCCATCTTTTCATTAATTTTCCAGTGTGAATTTAATTTTGATATTCACTGTATTAAAAGATTCGAGTATCTTGTTTGGATAACTTACGCCGCTAAGTAAAACTAAAATATCATCGGTATTCCGTACATAAAGTGTAATCTCGTTGATAACAGTATGTAATATTTTATTTCCAAATTTCCAAGAAATATATCGTCAAGGTTTTAACCAAAGGATTGCCCATTGCGACTTCATCTGCTTGATAGCATAATTTATTATTACGTTGGGACTGAACGTTCTTAGTTTATATCCTTAATAACTGTGTGATCTGTGTGTATGATGTGCATATACTTTATGAGTAATTGCTAGTGATGTCAGTTGTTTCTTTCAAAGAGATAATGGTTAAAGTTAACGATATGCCATATAAAACTATTAGCTTGTTCGATGTATTAATATGACGTATTACTTCAGTAAAATCAAGTTTATACGACCAGTTTTTTTACAAATCGATCCCAGTTTCATGCAATTAATTCCCTTTATGAATTTAAATATAGCAAGAAAAAATATTATGAATTCATACTATTCTGCATGAATATTCGATCCCAGTTTGTTAGCTGACCGTTGGTCCAGTTCGTTGCAGAGAAAATTAATCTTCTTTATGATTGGTCTCATTTGTAGATTAGATTTGCGTAATTTGGCCTGCTGATACATGAGTGATAGGCATACTCCAAATGATTCATCTCAAATAATTACAAGAAAAACCTCTTTCAAAACTTTAACTCTTAAAGTGTGTCATATTACACACAAATGATTGATTAATAATTCACTTTTAAATATTATTCCATTAAATGGAAATAAGAAAACATATAACTCTGTATGTAGTTGAAAGTAAAACAATTAAATACAATGGATTGATCGTATTCTGAAAATATTATCGTTCTTACTTTGTTTAGATTTATGAAGGCAATCAATTGTATAAACCTTTTTCTTTGTTTTTTCTGAATCACTTCTCTCTTGATTACAATTTCATAGTATATTAAATGGAAATTATTGAATATTTTATCCATATTTCATTCCCTTTTAAGTTTGGTCTTAGTTAAATTGTTTGCTTGGTTTTGTCTCATTTCAAAACTAGGTTACACGATTAAGACATGATTTAAATGATAAATTGCTAGAAATTCTTCAAAATTTCGAAGAAACTCTTTCACAAGACGAATATAAATCACTCAGTCGAATTTTACACATTACAATTTTTCGTCAGTCACAGGAAAACTTACAAATTCATTCTAACTCAATAAACACTGAGTTAATCAATAATAATATGCGTAAATCTGATTCATTTCTATCAAATAGTGGTCGAACCTCATCACTAGGCGATGTATCATCCGATCAATCCATGTTAAATAGAATTAATGAAACAGATCAATGCGTTGAATATAATGAAAATGTTGGATTTATTACATTACCAAAGACTAAATCTAGACGATCACATGCTTTGGAAAATGTTGATCGTTATTCAGTGATTGAATCGACAGAAAATGATTATGTCAATCCTTCTTCTGCGATAAATTCACTTCCAACTAAAAGAATCTTGTTGAGTACATCAAAAAGTAGTCTTGGCCTATTGAATTCCCTGCAAAATCTTTAGCTGAACAACTTACCTATTTAGAATGTTTAAATTATTATAAAATTAATGTAAGAACCTTTTTTTTTCGTTTATTTCGTGTTTTTTATTTGTTTTAATTTGATTTTGATAAAATGAAGATTATTTGATTCATTATCGTATTACAAATAATGGTCTGTGTATTGTTATTTTTTAGTTCTTTGGATGTCAGAAAACTTACAATACTTACTACTATTAGTAGTAGTAGTAGTAGTATTTTTTTAAGATTAATATTAGTGTTAATTTAAAGATTTTTTAATATAAAAGTTACCAACAGTCAGTGCTAGCTTCAACTTTTTGCATGATGATAAATGCTAATTGTATACCGGACAACGTGGTCTGAAGTATGCGGAGATTCATTACCATAAGAACTCTTAGTTATAAATTTATGATTTACTCTTTCTAACCATACAGTTTTTACTAAATGTGGGTACTCGATTGTTCTGTGGTTTTAAGTGTTACACATGCACAACGCTTGTGTACTACGATTGAAATGTACAAATATGGTTACATGGGTTTGTGTTTAGAACAAAGTATGACATTAATCCACTATTAGGATTAACTAGATGATGATCTACAACATCAGATTCGATTTCTTTCTAATAGTCGGTCAGTTTTTAATAGTATGAACACAATATTATTATTTGGCGAAAATTCAAGCTCGACTCTGTTTCCTTTAATTTTCAGGTTTTTGAACTGCTTGACATTTCAAAACTAGAGCAAGGTAAAGCACCTGGTGTAGCCGCTTGTGCACATCATTTTACAATGCTTTCTAACTGGGCCACTTATCAAATTTTATCCTTGACAAGTGCATCTGATCGTGATAAGGTCGCAAATCGTTTACTGGATGTTATGGAAGTAAGTTGTTATTTAGCCTTATGATAGCTTTCAGTTTTGATTTTTGCCTAAAAATCAGTTTTTAAAAATCTCAGACAACACTAAACACTTGTCAATAAAATAGTTTTTTTGTAGCGTGTAATATTTATCACTCTCCAGAATCTTTTATTGATTGTTCCCAGTACCTTACTACAAATAGTGTCTTTAAAAAATTAATGATCGATCTACTAATTGTAATTATAGTGCCGTTTACATTTGACACCATAAATTATTCATCATATATATATTGTAAATTAACATTACATTGGTTTTTAATTTTTCTGTCTTCTAGCACTTGTACAAACTCCAAAATTTTAGTTCCTACCTGTCTTTACTTTGTGCATTTCTCCTAGTACCAGAAGCTTTGTTTTCTCGAAAAACACTCAGTGTAAGTCAGCTTGTTGATAAATTTCTTCTTTATATGTTACATGTTCAATATTATTTTTGTAGTTTATAAGAATTTGTATGAAGATTTATCCTAACACTTTTAATAAGGTTAGGTGTCGATTCAATGAGTGATATTCGATGCATAGAGAGTTCGTTATTCCCTTGAAGAAACTCGATTTAGACTCATTGATAAAACATTGGAACCGTTTATTTTCAACGATGAAATTTTCTCACATAAAATATTATATCTATTTATCATTAGGATTTTATCTCTCTCTTATTGTGTTCCATATATTCACTCAACCGATATTTTCAGTAATCGCTAAACTTTAAATTCAAGTGATATATAATTACTGAAATATATTTCCATTGTTTACTGTCTATTATGTGATTTCGCTGAAAAGAAGTTGATCATGACGAGGTATAAATTATGTTTGACAATTTTATTAAAGGAAAGCATCATAACAGTGTTACTGAATTTTACATTGAATTAATTTCCTTGTCTATTATGAAAGATACCATTTCAATTAATGCAACTCTTTATGTCATAGTCAGTCAGTCAGCTACAACGTAGGACCAGGCACATATATGCATCGACCCAAGTTGCCATACCTCATTAACGCAACACCGAATTCATAGACGTAGTTACTTCGATGGTAGTAATATACAAAAAAAAGATTGCGTATAAGGATATAGTACAGAAAGAAAGAATTAGTTGGTAGAAAGAAAGATATAAAGCAATTTTAATCTCACAGTTTAAGGGAAAACAAAGTGTTTATACACCTACGCCATGTCACCCAGAGTCTCCAACCATTAGTTACAATGGTCGTACGAACCTCAACCAAGTAGGCTGCATCTACCAACATGGCTCAAATCAGAAATTAGTGACTTTATGAACCGATGCCAAGTTTTGGTTTGGCCGCCCTTAACTATCTCCCAACCGTCCCCAACACTAGTCAGCATTGCACACCGTGGTTATTTTATTTTATTTAAACACATAAACATGGGTACAAGAAGGCACCGAATAGATGTGCGCCACATGAATCATTCAATTTGTGTGAGGGCTAGGATACTGCCCGGGTGCCCAAACTGGAGCAGGTGGTTTTCTTAGGGGGCCACACCCCGAACCTTCAACCTAGAGGTCTAATCCACAATGCAGTGGAGCAACGTAAGTAGATGCAGTCCTGTGGTGTCCAGTGACCAACGGTTGATCCATACAGCATTTGTTCCTTCGGGATACTGAAGCCGATGTGCACCATTGGTTTGGAATCAGGATTTTCCAACTCCCCTAGGTAAATCCCCCATATCCACCAACTCGGTTAAAGCGCCGAACACTCGCTTTCCGTCCTCTCAATTCAGTAAACAACACCCCCACCACGAGAAGGCAGTGAGTAGGACTTCCCTGGCAGTGGTTGTATGCACGTGGCCATGTGAGAGCATTTCGAGAGGGAGAGTTGACTCTCCCCACTCTTGGCCCGTGCCAGGGCATTTGGAGGCCACCCCGTTGTAATCGGTGGCTTTATATTATAATTCCTTCTCTATCGAAAAAATTGCATAAATTTCTTTACATTACTCCTCTCAATAGCTAATACTTTTTTATGATTACCCACCTTTGTACAAAATGCACATACTCTGTATATATACATATTTAATTATCTCGTTTCTGTCCTTTTTTGTGTATGTATTATTGTGTCATAGCGTCTTAGTCGGGTTACGCCGTACATGCAACCGCCTTACTTTTCAAAATATCGTCGTGACTTAGAAGCAGCCAGTCCACCATTAATACCATATTTAGGTTTAATGCTGCAGAATTTAATTGTCCTAGATCAGGGTAATCCATTGTTTTTAAAGACTCTTCCAAGTCAATTAGTTGATAAATATCAATCATGTCATGGCCCTATTATAAACTTTTGGCGATGTTGGAAACATTTTCTGATCATACACGTTTTTGTCAAACAAGAGAAAATGGATCCTGAAAAATCGTAAGCGATCACTGTTTGTTTATCCTATTTTAAACATAATAATATAATTATTAAATAAGATTCACACGCATACAAATGTAATAGTATTGTACAGTCACCATTAGACTGACCGTGACTTCATTGCTAGGAAATAGCTGGATATTAATTTTGATATTGTAACTTATTGTAAATTACATACTGTTATACTGATTATACATAATCAACTCGGTAGAATGACAGATTTCAGTGAGAAACAAAGTCTTTGCGCTCATTAACTATACCCTCTGAGATTTATACTTTGGCCGGAACTCCTTATTAGGTTAAACTAATAATTATCTGGATAATTACCCTGACTAGCAAGCTATTATAAACCAGTTATCATTGAACTTCTGCTTCCTTCTAGTAGTAGATTACCCTGTACAGCCCACTCACCACTTATGGCCATCATGTCTTTCAGCTCGTCAGTTACTTTTAGACTACTACGTTTGCACTCGATAATGCTTCGTTTTTCTGCTTTTATCTAACTATCTTTAGATCTGTTACTTTGACCGAACTTTTCACCCTGATAATAAGCACGTAGCTAGCGTTTGAAGTCGAATAAGTACAAATAAAATCCTTTAGTGGCCCGAAATCTGGCTCCATTTGGATCGTATAACGATTGTGATTGAAATATACATATCGCCAATCCTCGCATATAATTATTGACTTAAATCGCGTTAGTGAATAACGGAATTGATATAAGTCAAATACGAGAATGTATTTTTGAATACGTATATTTTGTATAATCGTTTATCGGAAGGCGAAGCAAGACAAAACGACATGCAGTGGAGAAGGTGAGTGAGCAAACTCAATTTAACCAAGCGGAAATCGATATTGATAGTTAAACAAAATTAATTTACAGATATGTGATGAGTAAAATAAGAAATATACATAAATACGCTCTTATAAAAACAATCAAGGTTAATAAGCCAATAAGTGACTAGGTCAAAATGCAGCTTAAGAAGAATGGATAAATTGGTTTGTCCAGAAGCTAGAATAACTTATGTGGGCTTGACATAGGACCAGCTACTACAATCTCTTTGGCCATTTATTTGAGCACATTTTCTCGTCGAATTTTTTCCCCACTTCTTCATAATTGTTTCAATAACTTCATGATTCTACCATGCTATTGTTATCGTTGCTTTCAGTATGCTGAAGTTGCTTAAATGTTGTTTGTTTACTTGATCACCGGTATCCTACTAGAATTAGTTTGAAGATGTCTGCTAATAGCTGATTATTAATACATGGTTAATCAACTTAGAAACGCTTTAAAAAGAAGGGGTTTTTAAGAGGCAATAAACTAGAGAAAAATGCTTCTCTTGAAGATGTGCGTGCAGTTGAAAAAAACTTAAAATTCAAATGAATCTCAGTAGTTAATGTTAGTTAATAACAAAAATATCTGAGGAAAGATGGAAACAATTTGAGATCACAAAAACAAATTAATATTTAATTGACATACATTCATAAACTTAACAGAATTTTGAAGATAATTCTTTGGATGAGTTGTCACATACTGTCTGCAACAAACATAGTCGTCACGTGTATTCTCTGTTATATGATGTTATTCATAAGTGTTATTTGTCAATAATTTCCCATAAAGCCCTTAAAATATCTTCAAAATGCTAAAAATCTCTTTATTCCATTCAATATCTTCGGTAAATTCTGAATGACGATATACCTATCTTGTCCTTCGATCTGATACCGTGTGCGTACAGACTTTATTTTAGCATGTTTTCTCAATATTCTCAACCACTAAATAGCTTATTACCAAATTAATACCTAAATAGATCCTCTACGTAGAACAACCTTGAAGTAAAGCTTTGACTGTATTACCACCTTCATTGTTTACTGTTGAGGATTGGCAAAGCAGTTGTTTCCCAAAAGTTTGTTAGAAATACAAGCTCACTTATATATATTATATATAAATCGAATGGTGTACTTTCTTATTGTTTCTTATTCCTATCAAATATATAGTCGTTATTCGATCCGTCCTGATATGAAAATCTTACAATTTCTTGGCAATTTTAAAAATTCTCTACCTGAATCAGAATTACGTCTCTTAGCTAATCGTTTACGTCGAAGTATTTCATAATTTCATCATTTAATTATATTACAACATTTATGTAACCTATTGTTTGTTACTAATCAGCTCATGTGTATAAAATAACCTATAATATGTACAATAATACCATTGTTTTAATGTATCATTTTACTCTCTTTTGAGGTAATTTTTAATTGTAAATTTTAAGATTTTTGTTGCTTATCATAATATCATTCATACTTTAGATTATTGTTATCAGTCTTTGTTTTAAATATATAATGAATATCTATTGTATACTACTCAAATCTTATTATTAAATAACTAATATTTGTTTACATTTAAGAGATTGGCTGTGTTATTTGTATACCTTTCTTTGAAAACAAAAAGACAAAACAATGACAATCACGTATATTTCTCTCAGATGAGTTCCTCTATATATTATGTATTGTGTTGTATAGAAAAGAATATATATATATATATATAATTACGTTTCGGTGCATTACATCATCATTACTATTATTTTTATTCATTATTATACTGCTCAAAATTTGTAAATATTTCTCCATTGTTGAAAAGTGTTATTTTTTGTCAATTCATATGTACTTTAAAACCTATTAACTTTGTTCTTTTTTTTATCATGAATATGTACAAACATTCACGTTGTTCCATAGTGGCAATATTATCTTTTCCTACTGTAGATTTTACGGTAAAATAAAATCGTTCCTTCTGTTTATTACCTCGTCAACTAATGTATCATTAGTTTTTATCATAATATACTTATTTTATTATTATAATGATGATTATTGTTCATATATTTTGTTCATGTTTCTTCTATTATTTATACCATAGATTTCTTTCTCAAAAAAGATTGTTGTAGTTAAAAATTTGTTATTTTTATTGTTTGTTTTCTTAATAAAATGACTTCAATTATTTTATTGATGCTAGTAGATAAGTAGTGATTTTGGTCAGTTAGGGAAGCTTTAATGTTAATACTTCTGATACTATCAACACTACTACTACTACCACTACCGCTACCACTACTACTATTACTAATAGTGGTGATAAGGGATCTAACGACAGTTGTTATTCATGTCATAATGCAATTATTCCTTATATCTTTATGAGAAAATAAACATTTACATTGATTTTATTTTATATGATAATATAATCCAAACAAATACTTACGCACACTTTTGTTTCTTCTTCGAGATAAAACGGTTCTTTTTTTATCCTTTTTTCAAAACAAAAAAAAACAAAAAGATAATGACATAAACTTTCATGTCACTCAGTTTCACAAAACAAAAACAAAAAAAATTTTTCTCATTTATTCTTATCAATTTAAAGAAGTCATTCAATATTTATATATGTGTATATAAAAACATCTTTATCTTAAAAGAAAAAGAAAACTACTATGATAATAGTTTTTATAATTGATAAAAGTAATTTGACATATTCCCACAATCAATATTTCTGGTAATTTATTCAACCTACATTCTAATTACTGAATTACTAGATAAAATACCATTAGATTCAATTAGTCGAATAGAATTGTTGGATTGTGAATTTACTCGTCAAATCGGTGAACTATTTATTTCAACAGTTGAGATCATTAGTCATTTGAAGCTAGATTACCATGGAAAAAACCTGGAAGCACCGAACGACCGTTTCGTCTTATTGGGGGCCTCGTCAGCAGTGCGCATCCACGACCCCGCCACCCTCGAGATTCGAATCCAGGACCTATCAGTCTCGCGCGCGAGCGCTTAACCAACTAGACCACTGAGCCGGCCGACATCCAACGGTGTTAATATCTAACTTCAACTAATCCACGAAATTGAGTGACACATCCACCATTGTCTTCAGTGAGTTACTACCTCACAACTGACCCGTTTGAACTCAATAGACGAAACGGTCGTCTAGTGCTTCCAGGTTTTCCATGGTGGTCTAGCTTCAATTGACTCTTGATCTCAACTGTTGAGATTACTACAATCTCCCCAAAAGACCACTTCTGAAACTAGTTATTTCACTTTGGTTCATCATTAAGCATAAAGTAAATTATATTTGTTTTCACCTGAATTTTAGCGTAGTGACCAAATTTGGATTTATTTGATTATATTTAAAAAATGATAAACGTTTCGGGTTTCCTATGTGTTAATACTTAGATGAAATTCAATAATTAAACATTTCATAGTTAGGGTTATGGAATTTATCACCACTAAATATGAAATAAATGTATAAATAGTATTTTGATACATTTTATCATATGTTCACACAGTTTTATAGTCTATATCCAATCAATTAAGAGTTGATCCTTTCAAATTTATCTTATAGATATGTAACAAACTTAAGGAGGAATACTGAAGTTACAGATCCTACCAGAAAAAATAAATAAATAACTCAAATATTTTGTCCGCTTCCATGTATGAAAATATACTTCACAGGCGTAGAATTTTAAATCAAGTCATTACTAAAATATAACAACTAGAGAGTGCTATATTAATGTGAAAAATCACGAGTAACCTTTGTGGTATAAAGGAGTAGGTAATATGATTTAAAGAATAATAAGTCAAACATTAAAAAGACACGATTAGTCGAATGAAAGCTTTATTCACTAGACTTCTAAAAATGGAATTTATTTGACCGAATTCTTTAGTTAAGAGACTTAGCAAAGTCTGTCTTATTCGTAAATCGATTACAGTTTGTTTTGTTGTTGATATATCTACTGTTTGAATCTCTCTCAAGGAGATTCTGATCTATTTTTAATTGAAGTACTTAATATAATCAGGAAAATTCATTGTGGCAGATGTATCCTTTCACGTAGCCGCTTGTGTCGAGAAATTATTTATGCGGATCTAACAACTATTAGACTGTATATACTTTGATATCTCTTATTATTATGCGGTAAATGTTTGCGAATTTATCTGTCATTTACTGCATGAATGAGTAAATTAACATACAGATTGTCATTGGAACGTTGTAAATGCAATCCAAAGTAAACAAATCAGTGATTTTAGATAAGCACTCTGTTCTTTGTCCTACTGCTAGGTTGTTTTTGAATAACTCAGGCAGATAGTGATTGATCTTCAATACTTCTAAAGTTAGGTCACTACCGATATCTTGAAGTTTTGTGTTCAATCTCATTTAGCATGATTAGTGCGTTGTGCTAAAAAAATTCCAAAGTAGACCAAAGAATCTCATTAATGTTGCGCGGTTTTTTAGTTGTTTTTAACGCTTTATCTTATATAACCGGTATAAAGTAAGAACATATGTTTAGCTGTTAATAAAACTCAAAAAGCAAGGAGAAATTCAGGCGAGACTAATTTATAGACGAATTAATCAGGTATAAGATAACAGGTCTCGGATTTTGGTGCGAAATTCACTCATCCATTTGGTTAAATAGAGTTTTGCCATTATAGCTGATGTCAGTTCGTGATGAAAACCGTAAGTCTAATTCCTAACATTAACTATCAACTGCAAATCATAATTCTAATTCCTCACACTACTTTATAACCCTCATTTGATCCTGGTTATTAGGTGAACATTCTCAAGGTCACTTTAGCGTCGCTCAAATGTCAATAAATTATAGTCTCACCGAAATCCATCCTTCTGAAGAAACGTTATCAAGTTTATATGAATTGAAAGTTTGTACATATATATAACTACCTTCTGTTCAGTCAAGAGATAAGGAAACCTAATTTTCTTTTAGCTTATTTAATAAAAATCATTCATAAACATGATTTCCACATTTTATCATGAACAGAATCGGTGTTTACATATGCTTTCTATCTTCACTTAATATAGTAGTTGAAAGGAAGTGTTACGAGTGAAGAAAAAAAGAAGAGAAAGATGAAGTGTTCATTTCAGACAAGAAAAAACTAGTTGATAGCAATGCTAATTTGAAAATGAGAAAAATAATATCAAAAACCATTTAGGTTTTGGGATTATTTAAACAAATGAAATAAATAAACGTTAAACATTAAAAAGGAAGAATGTATCTATAAAATCAAAGTGAATGAATTTGAAGTAAATCCAATGTTTCGTCTAGCAATCTGGTTCAAGCTTTTTCAATGAAGTATAATCAAACATCAAAATGATCGAATCTAAATAGGTACATGGTTCTCCGGTTCACTCTATAGTGAATAGATCATCCAATTAACGTTAACAATGTTTAAATTAGTGTGTATGATACATGTAGTATGAAACGAAAAATGTGTTAAGATACCAGATTGTGTGTATACATAAGTGAGAAGAATGTTAGTTTTGTTTATTAAGAAATTCCTTTATACGAAAACTTGATTCAATCTACTAACATTCAATTTATTTATTTGCTAAATAAGCTTAAATAGATAGTGAACCTATGCATTATAATTGAAATTAAGATAGAAAAATATCTCATGTCAAAATTACTTTATACAACATGATCTGATTGGGTTTTTTTATCTTATATTCATGCTTATTTTAGTAGTTAAGTGATTCATACGTCGCCACAACGAATTTAATTATAATATTTCTTTTCCAATCTAATCTTGATCTGCTTGTCTAGTGAAAACAGTATTTAGCTTACATGCAGAAACATTTTTTAGACAAAATTATGAGTCAGAATCGTATCTATTATTGATTTATTGATAAGGAAATATAAACGATTTATGTTATTTCAGCTGGTCGGCGGCCTATGCTCCATTGGGAGTAACAGGCGTAAGTAAGTATGTTATTTCAGGACTCATTTAAGGCATGCTAAATGAATTCTTAAAATTGGAATGGAATTTTAAGTATTATTATTAAAATTTTGCCCGATAATTTAATGGAACTGAGTAATCGGTAGGTTATTGGTAACAATACCGTAATGTATGAGGACGTAAGTGGAGACAGTCAATGTAATTCAGTACAAATTACAGAATCTCCTGTTAAAATATGTTAGCCATACATTGAATACTTCATTTGCGAAATTCCATCATTTTCCTTTCACATACTGTATAGTTCTCCCAAGTCACAATTCCTTTCTATTTTCGTTTCAACTTAATCTTCTTAGCCTTCTGCTGTGAGGGTTTTCACTTCCAACTGGCGTCGCATACTAATTATATCTGTCGACAAAAGTAGCACACACCACAATACTAATGGT